ACAGCTGTGTGCCACTGACTTTGATTTAGAAAGGGTTTGTTAAAGGTGTCTTGTGTAATTTTTCTGGTGGAGGGTCTGTCAAACGCTTTTCTCCATGTGTGGAAAGTTCCATAATATGGCATTAAAACTACGCATACCAACCTATTCCATTTTCATGGAGGCCAAACCAGACCAAGTTACAGTTCAGATCAGTTTAAAACTAGTCTCAATTGCTTTCTTTTCATACAAACATACTGCTGTCAGACTGTACAACAAACACTGTTAACACTGAACATGTGCCACTCAAATATATCTATGTGCAATTATTTTTAAGTTTATTTTTAAATTATTTTTAAGCCATTATTTATTATCTGTTTTATTGCATGTTACTTTTTTCCTGCTGTTCCTGAATTGCGCGGTGCAACACTGGAATTTCCCCACTGTGGGACTAATAAAGGCATATCTTATCTTATTGTAAAGATCTAACGCTCCATACTTTTAAATTTTAATCGTGTCTCATCTATTTTATAGTATCACCTCATGGCCCCAGGCCTCCTCAACCACACAGAACCGCTCTGTTCATTATACAAACTAAACCTTAAGGTCCTTAACAAAAAGCCCAAACACTGGCACCAATGTGAAATTTAAAAAAAACATAAAACTTTTAAACTTTGAAAATTTTACCAATTTTAATTACCTTAAATTCTTTAAGTGTCTTAACTGCAATACACCACTGCACTCAGAATTTGCCAGGACCATAAAATGTACACACAGAGCGAACACAAGAGGTGCTACTAGAGGTAACTGCATTGTTCCTATGTACAGGACGACTCTGGGTCAGTTCTTTCTTTTCTAAAGGGGCCACACTGTGGAACGGTTTACCATCTTAAAATTAGAAACCAAAAACAACTAATTTAAAAGTAAATTTAAATTATCGTATGTTTCCAATCAAAAATGCATCCACTGAAAATATACTGTATATATTTTATCTGTATGTAACTTATCTGTCTTGTATTGTGTGTTTTTATGCATGTAGTAAAATTTTCATATGGACAGGTGCTGAAAACTAGCACTTGACTGAAAACTAACAATAAAACACTCAAAGCAATGCATCTGGCTTGTCTAATGTGACTGATTGTGATGTCCTTAACCAAAAAAAAATAATGATAATAATCTGTGGAGAGGCGACGCCACACACACAGAGGCACAGAGAAGAAGCTATTGGACTTTCAGTTAATTGAGAGATTTAAGTCTCTTGAGAAGACAAAGAGACGCACTGTGGCTTTTTCCAAAATAAGAGTAAACCTTCGTCTGCACCACACGCTCTTAGTGCCACATTACTGGCTGTAGATCCTTCTTTAACCACTGAGCCACTGTCATCCGAGCGGACTAATAAACCAGGTATGTTTATGAGAAGATAACAACATTATAACATGACTTAAATCTCACAAGAGGCAATAGTGTATAATACAGGGCCTTTAACCTCTAAACTACACATTAATAACCAATGTAGAAACCGCTGGACTGGCCGTTTGAACTTCAGACACTTCTCTAACGTGTCTAATCTTCACAAACAGAGCAGGTCCCAGTGCGAGGAGATGATTCAAAGCATAAAACACTTTCTATCGAACTCTCTTCTTTAGCTTTGTGTGGAGCTCCAGGCCTCAGTCCGACAGCTGCCTCTGTGCTCCCTGTTTTCCCATCACCTCCTCTCATCTCTACATTCATCTCTCACACAATTTTTTCGTTCATTTTAAAGTGTTGTGACGCAGGTTTTGTCTGTACACACACACACAGGCTTAGGCAGTGAAAGTTCTTTGGAAAGCTTACATGAGTTTCTTACACTTTACAATAATGCGGTATTGTCACGATACTAACATTTCAAACTAAATTATTATATGAAGGTATTGACTCGATACTCAATATGGATTCTGAAACCTCAATGATTAGTATCTGATTTTCAATAATTCTGAGAGTAAAGCAGCTTAGTCTCCAATTTTAGTTCTGCTGGATGGCGAGATTGACAGATGATTCAAGAGATACATGTTATGTTGCTATTAAAAAAAAAAAAAACATAGCTGCTTACGAGTAAAAAATAAACACATGACTGAAAAACAGTGACGATTTTTGCAGTATTATTGCACTTTCAAAGCCCAGACATATCAGCCTGGACAGTGGACACCACTCCCTCCTTTGCGTTTCAAGCCAGAACTAAATAAAATCATAAATCAGATTTGTTTATTTCAGTGACGCATGAGAAACGAAGGAGTTCATAGACAGGTTTAATCCCATGCTGTGAAACATTCAGGCAAAGCAATAACATCTCTATGGAGAAAAGCATTTGACGGGCCCAGAAAAGTTACACAACGCACATTTCATTCAACAGAGGGCCTTCAATTTGGTCCATTTTGCAAAGCTCCATTTGAGAGAAACCTTTGAATTGACTTCTGTGGTTAGTCTCAGTGTGTAAAATGTGTTTCTGTCATGTTTAAAAATGACTCATGTGAAAGAAAGTGGAGTAGTATAAGCTTGTGTGAAATCTGAAGTGTGAAGTGAGTTTTCTTGAACAGAACAGATTTTAGTCATTTTAGTTTGAGAGATTTAAAAGCACAGAGGTAGACAGCACACGTGTGATTCACAGATACATAAAACTGGGCATTAACCGAGCTGGCGGCGTTCTTGTCTCCACGGAGATAAGTGAATAAGGAGATGGAGATAAGTTTAAATGGCCCATATTACGCCATTTTCTAAGTTATAATGTTACACAAAATTGGTTGTTGTGAGCTTTATATCATGTTATAATGGCATTTCCTCATCACAAACACACCTGGAGTTGTGTTTTGTTTCATTCACACATGTTTAATGTGTCATCAAAACCTGCATATTTAGGCTCTCAAATAGAAAATACTCTGTTCCATATTGTGATGTCATACAGGAAGTGATCCACTATGTTTTTAAACTCCACACACCTTCACTAGATTTACCGTATTTTCCGGGCTATTAGATGCGCTCTTAAGCCTCTAACCCCATCAAAAAATTACCGTGCGCCCCGCAATCCAGAGCGCGCTATACACGAATCCACTCGGGTGTCCCAGCACGACTTCAGTAAACTACAAAACCGCACCACCTGCAGCAGACAGCGACCGCGCAGCCAAAAACACTCACAGCCACACACATCAGTCCACACGCCACAACTGAACAAAGCCCAGAGTCACCGTGAACGCACCAAACAAAGTCCCACTGACCCATCCAACAGTTGTGTTTCATTTAAAGTCCGGTGCGGTTTATTTGTGAAAAAAGTTCGAAAATAGACCATTTAATGACGCCTTATAATCCAGAGCGCCTAATAGTGCGCAAAATACAGTATTTGGATCAATTCAGGTCTGGAATTGTCAGTCTTTACTGAATAAAAGGAAAAAAAGTAGCTGTAGATGGTAGAAGGTCGATTTTGCATAATACTAATAGACTGCATAATAAGCAAAGCAATAGGACTGAGGCTAACGATTATTTTAGTAGTTCACAAGTCAGAGATTAATTTCTCCCAATTAACTGATGTGTCAAATTAATGTCTCTTTAAAGTGAGTTTCACCTCTGAAGAGATCTAATATGCAAGTTGGCCTGTTGGCATCTCCTGCTTGTCTCCATGAAGACAGATTTTAATGACAGAGTTTAATATCATACTGTGGAACATTCCAGGCTAAGCAATATCTCCATGGAGACTAGTGGCTCAAGCGAAAGTGGCTAACACTAGCACTTTTACACCCTAACGGTTTATTTAAGAGTGTTTTATTCAGAATCAGTGTCTACAGTGCCATAAACCAGAGCTTCTGTCTGCTTCATTCACAAGAGTGTTGTGTCCATTTGAACACCTCTGCTGTTTTCCTGATTCTCGCAGTGCATCGTGGTCTATATTGACCTGTCTACTGACCACTGATGCCCACTACTTTTCAAGGTGCATTGTGGGAAATTTTGAGTGCACTGCTTTTTAACTGCTGGTCATTCGGACACCTCTAAAAACGGCGTGGACACTTGCCTGTCTGTTCATATAGTGAAGTTGTGTGTGTGTGTGTGTGTGTACATGAGCAACCAAGCCGTGCTTTGGCCCACCTCCTCCAACCCAGCCAAAGTCCCAACCGTGCCATGCCTGGGCACACTTCGATCGTGCTCCCACTGGACAAACGCACGCCGCTTTAGGGGTGATCCATGATTGGCCAGAATTCTAAAGTCCTAGTGTGAGTGCATCCTTAATGTTAGATACATTTTAGAACGTTGTTTTGGCTGCTTTGTTACACTGGACTATTGTGTCCCCTCTCTCTGTAACTTATCACTTTGGTCTTAAAATGTTCGTATTAACCCGCTCTACACAGGGCTTTACAGTGTGCCCATTTGCAAGAAAATATTTTGTTATGTGAACAAGGAAAACAAAACAGATGCACATATGCGAGTGCTTCTTGCAGTCCACAATAAGGAGAGCACTGCCCACACATATAACATGACGAGTTAAACATTCTAAAAGGTATCAAATGAATCAATGGGAGCCAGGGTCAGTAGGAGCCGGATAAACTGGCATGCAAACATCCTTTTTAGAACGCAGCAGCTAGTATGTTAGTTATGTCCATTTATATATACAGTCTATGATTTCTTCACAAACTGCAACTTTGAAATAGGACAGCTACACTTCCACCAAAGCAGACAATAATGAAAAAAAATACTGTAATCACTGTAGTCACTTTTAGCACAATGTACTTTTAGCAGATTTTAGAGATTTCGTTGCTGCTAAAAGTACATTGTGCTAAAAGTGACTACAGTGATGACAGTATTTTTTTTCATTATTGAACTCTCAAATGACTCAAGTTCATTTCTACATTAACTTTCTTGTGAAGTGTTGTGAGAAACACAGTGAAAGCAAACGGATGCTGAAAAAGACTGAGCTAAATCCAGAGCAGGTGTAAATTATGCGTATGTGGTGTGAAAGCAGCGTGCCTCTCTGTGATGTTCAGTCCCCGGGGCCCCAGTCTCACCTTTGGGATGCGAGAGATGATGTCTGGGTACTTGGTCGTGTTGTCTTCTTGGTTACGGCTGAAAATGCGCACGTCTCCGTTCTCCAGGATGTGAATCTGTAGGGGAAAAAAAAAAAAAAAAAAATCATATAACACATTTTAAGACCAAAATGACGAGGCTCACAGCAGCAGTTACACAGAGAGGGAAGAGCCGACGTGCGAACTTTATTTGGAACGCGGCGACTAGCGTGTTAGTTCTGTCCATTTATATATATAGCCTATGATTCAGACACAAACCAGCAACAGAATCACAAGAAGTACCTCCAGAAGTACCCCCAGCCACACCACAGCAGCACATTTGGACAGTCAGCCTTCTTATATCAGTACTGTGAATTATGGACCACACTACCACCTGAATTGAAGCACATATCAGAGCTCTGGTTATATTCACTTTGAGGTTTCAGTCTGTTTCTGATTCTGTCTCTCTCTCATACAGTATTTCACAAAGTGAATATGAGTTTTAATGTGGGAATGTCTGAATAGTGGGAACTGAGCAGTAAAAGTGTTTAAAAGGCACATAATGGGCTATTTTCTGATCTATGTTCCATGTTCTAATGTCATTTCCTCATCTCAAACAGACCTGGAGTTGTGTTTTGTTTCATTCACACATGTTACACATATTTAGGCTGAGTTCTTCTCTCCAAAAAATTTTTTTTTTAAATGCTCAGTTTCACTCGGTGCTGTCATGTAGTAATACCAAAAGTGCTCCATATTCCTTCACTAGAATTATTTGGATAATTTCAGCTCTGGAACTGCCAATCTCCGCTAATCAAAAAGGTAAAAGGAGCTGTTCACTTGAAAACTACCACTTCATGACATCACAAAGCAGAACAGAGCATTTTGAGCTTTGGAGATGTAGACAGAGTAATAATAAAAGATTTGTGAAAAAGATTAGTGAAACAGATTAGTGAAAAATCCCCCAGTCGTCCAGGTAGAATCCGTGGCAAAGGAGAAATTCAATTTGTCCAGTTGACAAATTGAATTTCTCCTTAGCTGATAAAAAATTACTCAAACGTGTGAATGAAACCAAACACAATTCTGTAAGTTGATTTAATTAAAGATTTCCACAAAATTCTGTGGACCTACTCTAGCCTGCTATTAAAAATAATGAATTATAAAAAAGTATCTTGGTCAAAAGAAATTCAAATCGTGTTGACAAAGGCACTGACTCCTAATTCACAGGATCAGGCTTCAGTCTCAAAAGGCGTCACTTCTATTGTCTATTCACAAACCGGAGCCCCTCCACTCTGCGTACTACTGCGCCCCCTGTTGACCAATCACAGACATACTCAATGCAGATGGAGGGGGAGGGAGGAGGATGGAAGTGGTGGGTGAGAGGGGAGAGAGGTGTGACTGAAATTGAGGTATAGGGTTGGGATGAGAAAGAAAGAAGGAATGAGGGAGGGAAAAAGACAGAGATAAAGAGAAATAAAGAGATAGAGAGGGAAACATAAAATGAGGGATGGAAGGAGTGATAGGTAAGATAGAATGAAAGAAGAGGAGGAGGAGAGAGAGGGAGGGGGCCGGTGACTGAGAAACTGAGAAAGGGTCAAAGGGAGGGAGAGAGGGAGGACAGACTGAGTCAATGACAAAAAGAGAGAGAGAGAATCAGAGATAGACGGAGTCAAACAGACAGAAAAAGCAGGGAGACACGGAGGTACGGAACGAGCGATGAAGAAATAAGACAGATTGAGCTCATAGTACGTCACAGTGTTGCTTGGCTGTGTCTCCTCTTTCTCTCCGTCTGTCTCGCTTTCTTTCTCACTTCTTTTTCCAGTTCAAAGCGTCTTTATTGGCATGACTGTCCGAAATTAAGAATACAGCCTGGAGCTTTTACATTAGAAACCCCGGCTCGCTGTGGATCTGAGCTGCCTCCTGCTATGTTCCAGTAATCGTCTTTCTCTTTTCCCTTTGAATGTTTTTAAGTCTTTTCCACTCCTCTTTTTTCCTCCCCCCCACAAACCCAGAGAAGCTGCTGTCTATGGTCTAAAAGGCCAAGGCACCACTGTGGAGATGAATTCAGGGAAGTGTTAAAAGCTGTTTTTTTTTCCACAACTTGAAAAATGAAGCTGCTACGGGAGGCAGAAAAACAACTTTTGGTTACAGTTTTGGTGGAAATATGGTGTTTGAAAATATCCCAAATTTGAGTCAGGAGAATTTATTACGGTTTTCAGACGACATCGCCAAGGCCTGTCAAGCTAATCAATGGGCTTCAGCGTGATGGATGATTAGAGCCGTAGCCATAGCGATTAAGAATTTATGACAAAATATATCTTTCGCATGGGGAAAACTCCTCAAAATGTTGCATAAAGAGGTCTAAGCTAAAAGTCATGATATCAATAAATCATATGAGCATGAAAAATGGTGAACTCTCTGTCTGGAACGGCTAGCAACAGGTTTGATTGACAACATCGCTAAGCCCACACCCCGTGCCAAACCATCTTTGCAGGCAAAAAGGGGCGTGTACCTTCAACAACCTCGCTCCTGATTGGCTCTTTGGTTGCTTTGATACGTGTGTTTGAGTTTCAAATATGGATCTTGGTTCTAAATTAGCCGGTACGAGTGCTGGCCACAATTGACTTTGTCTGACTCGAGATGAACGTTATGAGGGGCTTCACACTCACTTGGTCCACTTCTATGTGTAGTCCATGATTCTGACTTGTCCTCCTGCTCAATTTTAGACTATAGAGATTCTAGAATGTTACATTGACGCAACCTATTTAGGCCCCATCCACACCAGTATGTATTGGAATTGTTTTTGTTGTGGATGCAGTGTTCATTTACACTAATCAGATTGAAAACGGCTCCAGAGACGGAACGATCTGGTGCGTCCAGCTCAAATGAACACACCGAATCTGATCCGGCACTGTGTGGACGCCTGAAAACATTGATACGCTGATGTAGGTCGATGCACTGTAAAGTAATTCACCGCCAAAACGCTAAGAGGCTAGAATATATACATATATAAAGTCTATGCATATGACCTGCAGATGTATAATCTCTGAAAAGTTTAACATGAACCACCTCCAACGCAATAGAAGCACAGAACAGACTTACCATCTGCAAAAAAAAAACCTCTGTCACAGAAAGAACACATATATTCCACTGAGTCTTGTCCTTTAGTCCTGACAGAAGCTGAACCACATCAGCGCACAATCGTGAGCTGTTTTTTGCTCAATTTATGCAAACTAGCCATGCGGTTTTAAGTTTCATTTCTGTAAAACGTAAACAAATATGCTCAAAGTTGTGTAGATAGGGAAGGCTTGCGGACACAGAAACAACATTTCTGGAATAGGGATGGGCATGATTAGTCGATTAATTGATAATTGATCATTAAGAATTTCATTGACTATGTTAATTTTAATCGACAAACGGAATGTAGGTTGCTGTGCGTAGCGTGACCAAACAGGGGTCCGTACATGTATGCATCAGAAGGAGCGAGACACAAACAGTCGGTCAGTCTGCAACGTACCGAAGCACAAATGTGTATTTAACGATGACTTGTACAAGAAATTCCACGCTTTCCGTTGCGTCCGGGACAAGTGTGAGTCCATGTGCACAGTGTATAAAGCAGCATATATGTTTCTGTGTCCACTGGGAAAAAGTTTTGCCAGGTGAGAGTCGCGCAATGTCGATGACGAGTCCCAACCTCCCTCCCCCCGTACGGTGTCCTGGTTTTGACAAACACAAATATGGTCACACTAACCCATATTCCACTGAGTCATGTCTTTTAATCTGACAGAAATTGAACCACATCAGCGACACAAGAGCTGTAGTTTTATCTTTGCTTAGTTTATGCAAATTAGCGATGCAGTTTTAAGTTTTGTTTCTGTGAGAGTTGCGCAAAACTGAATTAAACACATTATAATGTCAAACGGGCTGATGTGGCTCTAGAGTGGTTACGGTTTATATCTTGTAAAGTTGAATTTATTTATGCAGATTAGTAGTGCAGATAGTAATAATAATGATGATCATTTTAATATAAAAACCTTAATGATTAATCGATAATCGATCGTTAATTCTTCCGACGATCGATTAAGAAAAGTTCATCGAATGCCCATCCCTAGTCTGGACGCAAATTGTTTCCGATATGGTGATTTGTTTCAGTGTAAACGTAACCTTATACATTACAGTGACATCACGCAGGGGGTGTTCTACAAGCATCTCTATTGGTGGAATGTTCGACCATTAACCATGAGGACACACTGCACACTTCAGCAAAAAAAAAAAAAGATTCTAATTCTAAAGTTTAGCAGCCTCAGACAGAATAGTGCTTTCAGTTAGCTGCGCACCCTCAGGAAATGTGAATGACATGAGTTCCTAAGTATCTATTTTATGTGTGTTATTAAGCTAACTTCAATGAATGACCAAATGAACAATAATTTTGAGTGGTAAATATTTATCTCATTCAGTTTTAGTTTTTTGTTGAACATTGTGATTAAAATAAATGTTAACATGTGTTTTTTAATGTCACTGTAAAACTACAACAGCTAATAATATATGGCTGTGATGTGTGAATAATGCTAATATCCCACACAGCTTGAACATAACAAAGAAAAACAAGCTCTCCAGTCGCCCGAGGAGCTCACGAACGCCACATTCGTCTTAAAGGGGGGAAAAAAATAACATACAGAAGCACAGCGCTGTGAGGGCTGATGATGCAGGAGCCGGTGGTATAGGAGCTGGGGGTGTTGGAGTCGTGTGCACTAAAGTGTAGTTTTGCTTGTAGCGTTGGGAAAAAACATACAGGATCCGCACACGAGCGAACGCCGCCGGGAGCGACATGTAAAATTCAGCAGCATGTGTTCTGTGTCAGGTACAGGCGAAAACTAACTGCATTCATCACTGCAACTCCACGATATTATAGGAAGGAAAAGAAGAAGAAAACTGAGAGCGAGGAGAATAATTACATCAAAAAATACTATTTAAAGGGACACTGTGTAACTTTTCGGTTGGGGGTCCATCACCTGCTTGTTCCTATGAAAAAAAATCATTGTTCTGTTTGGAATGTTCCACAGTATGACATTAAACAGTTCTACTTTACATTTTTTTAATTACAAGTGGTTTTATGGCTCAAAAATACCTAGAAAAACAGGCTCATAGGACTGTGAGGGGGGCCACCTCTCCACAGATCTGACCTGTAACTTGGTCTTGGCCACCAGAAAAGTTACACAATGCACTTTTATATTAAGTAAATGGGACTAACAGTAGAAGTAACAGGAGTATAGAAATCACCTAAAGTTGCAGTTCCAGGGCTAAAATAATCCAAATTGATTCAAGTGAAGGTGTGTGGAGTTTAAAAAAAAAAAAAGTGTAACATTTCCTCTATTACCACATGACATCACAAGGTGGAACAGGGTGTTTTCTGTTTGAGAGTAGTTAGCCTAAGTTTGTGTGTTAAACATGTGTGAATGAAACAAAACACAACTCCAGGTCTGTTTGTGAGGAGGAAACTACATTAGATAGATCAGAAAATAGTAGTGGTAGTAGTAGTAGTAGGAGTAGTTTATTTACCTGAGCCCTCTCTCCGTCGTACTTGTACTCGCAGGTGAAGGCGGCCTCGTCAAACTTCTTCATGACCTCTCCCACTCCTTTGGTCGGATGAGCCAACATGGGCCTGAGAGGGACTCCTGGAACCAGCAGGGGGCAATGGTGAGGTCAGATGCTCAAAATGAATCAATAGTTTTACCCCAACAAATCCTATTTTTACATCTTAGTCACCTCTCAGTCACCTCAACTCATAAAAATACAACCACAGACCATCACATAGAAGTAAACAAGTTAATTCAATTCTGAAAATGAGTTTCTTAGGTTGTGTGCACCTGCAGCATCAAAAGCAATGATAAGGCTTTAATCTCTGACTATCTTTTAAGTCCTATATTATGCTTTTTATTGGCATTTTATAACTGCAAAATAACTTAAATTAATGCAGGATAAATGTCTTCAAGTATTTTTTAAACATTATATTTGATATTATACACTCGTCATACTTAGACTTTGTTAAACTATTGATATACAAGGCAAATTATTTGGACACAGTACAGTGCTGTGAAAAAGTATTTGCCCCCTTACGGATTTCTTACTTTTTTTTTGCACTTTTGTCACTCTTAGCCATTTCAGATGAAGCAAACTTATAGATAAAACTTCATATTGTGTTTGTGAGTTAAGTGCTGATTTTATTTATTAAGAGGAAAAAGCCATCTGAACCTACATGGCCTATGTGAAAAAGTAATTGCCCCTTAAACCTAATAACTGGTTGAACCACTCTTAGCAGCAACAACTGCAGAAAAGCGTTTGCAATAACTGGAGTCGCTGTGGAGGAATTTTGGCCCACTCTACTTTGCAGAATTGTTTTAAATCAGTCACATTGGAAGGTTTCCGAGCATGAACCGCCTTTTTAAGGTCACGCCACAGCATCGCAAATGGGTTCAGGTCTGGACTTTGGCTTAACAAAAACAAAATGAGGATTATGAAGTGGTCTAGTCATTCAGGAGCTGACTTGCTGGTGTGCTTTGGATCATTGTCCTTCTGCAGAACCCAAGTGCGCTTCAGTTTGAGGTCACAAACTGATGGCCAGACATTCTCCTTCAGGATTTGTTAGAGAGCAGAGTTCATGGTTCCTTCAATCACAGCAACTCGTCCAGGTCCTGAAGCAGCAAAGCAGCTCCAAATCATGACACTAACACCACCATGTTTCACTGTTTTTTAGCTCGCCGTGATTCGCTGGAGTCCAAAAGATTTAGAAATTGCTTTGTAACCGTTTTCAGACTGAGACATGTCAATTACTTTTCTTATCTGCTCCTGAATTTCTTTGGATCGCAGCATGATGTCTTGGGTTCAATATGGCCTATTTCACCTCGTCAGACAGGTTCTATTGAAGTGATCTCTTGATTTGAAAGGTTTGACAGCATCAGGCCTGGGTGTGGCTATGAAATTGAACTCCACAATAATATGATTAATCAGAGATACCTCGCCATTTAACAAGGGGTGGGGATTATTTTTTCACACAGGATCATGTAGGTTTGGATAGCATGGATAGTTTTCTCTTAAATAAAATCACAGAAAAACTGCATTTTATGTTTAATTGGGTTATCTTTGTTTAATACCTAAATTTGTTTGATGATTTGAGACGGTTAAGAATTGTTTACAGCACTGTAGCTCACACATCACAATATAATATAATAACAAAGAGCAAAAATAAAAATGATAATAATAAATCCTAAATATATAGCATTATACCCTGCAGTATAACCAAGCTGCCCTGGGGTAGACTGGCACCTGCCAATCTGCGCTTACAGCTCTGCCGCCACCACACATCATTGCCTCTCATGGTAAATTCATGCATGAGAAAGGTACATTACGTGTCTTGCCCAACAACACAACAATAATGTGCACTGGTTAATGTTGGAATTGAACCAGCATTTATGTTTGAATTCTCCAGTTTCTCATTTTATTTGGATATGTTTAATAGCTTTCCCTAAAAGTAGTAGTTAAAGGTGCACTGTGTAACTTTTCTGGTAGAGAATCAAAAACCTGCTTGAGTCCATATAGATGTTATTGTTTTTTCCTGGAATGTTCCAAGTATGGCATTTAATTGAACTATTTCTATGGAGACAAGCAGGCCACATTACATCAAGCCAAGTTACAGGTCAGATCTGTGGAGAAGTGGGTCAGCTCATGTTATTAATTAATGTTTTGTTTTGATTTTTCTTGAAGGTGAGTTGCTGAAACTTTAAGTATACTTTTTCAATATGTTTCAAATTCAAAATAAAAATATCACCTTTTAAATATTCAGCACATATATATTCAAGCCCTCAAATTCAACAGTCAAAATTCAGGGTGTAAAATTCGCAGTGAAAAATTTCACAACAAAGATCCAAGATGCCAAGACAGAAGCAATGGATCATGTGTGAGTGAGGAGGACAGAGCCTGTTTCCTATTGGCTGTTCTCACCTGTGGGGTTTTACACTTAAGAAATGAAAGATGAGGTTTTGATGAGGCAAATTCTGACCAATAAGTTCACTGCACTATTTTCTGCTTGTTACTAGGTTAGATTGGATCACTTTGGATCGATTCCTCAGGCCTTGTCATTTTGGATCTTTGCTGCATTTTTTTTTTCACAGCAAATACACTCTGAATTTTGACTGTTGTATTTGAGTGCTTGAAAATATGTTATATTGAATTTTAAACACTTTGAAAATGTACACATATAATTTCATTAACTGACATTCAGATTTTTTTTTTTTTCCTCAGAGTTAAAAAATTAAAAGTGAGAAATTAAAATTCTAAATCTGATGAAACAAATGATCTTCCATACGCGTGGAGCATAAGAACATAAGAAGATTTAGCACATGGACATCGCACATGTTTCTGTTGATAGTGGTAGTGCGTGCATGCACATGTTTCTACCGCTATCGGTAACGCAAGTATGCATTAGGTTTAATGTATTGTACAAACTCATTCCAACATTTAAATGTGTATTTTTCCAGAAATATTGGTCCTATGAACACAAAATTAAAACTGTCATGACCCCGACACCCTGCTCTTATGCCTGAAGTCCACATGTTTGTTTTTAATAAGATGGAAGAAGATCGAATCGAAAATCGAGATCGATAAATGTATCATATCACCCAGCCCTAAATGATACCCTCTACCATTTAGTCCCATGTAAATGACCAAAATGTACCTTGCTCCATACAGATCTATTGTATAAGTTGTAAGAAGCGCTCAAAATATCACACACACGTACTGTCTGCATCTGATTAGAAAGAATTTTATTGTTCAATAAACATGAAGTGTGTGTTAGCATGCTAGCTGTTGTGAAGGTAAAATTCTGCACTTTTCTCAGAGTTGTAAAAAGCTTTTATAAACTCATCGTGGTGAATAATTAGGATGCTCCGAATACATAAGTGCAGTGAGGAATAACTGAACTACTGTCTAAAATGAAATAGTTCTGATGTTCGTGTTTTTAAGATGTAAAAAGCTCCTTAATTATCGTATTTTTGAAGGACCTTATTCAGCTTGTGTGGATGTTTGTGTTACCACGGTTACCAGACAGTCATGCCTCCATCTCCAGGTAGAAGAGTTGTATTATTAGAACAGAATGTGGGGCATTTGTCCTTATGTCACGTATCCCTGTGATGCTGTAATTAAAACTATTTATCTGCTCCATTTGTCTCTATGCATCTGTGTTGCGTGTGTTTGAAGCCTGCAGCTCCGTTAGTCACATCACACACAAACAAACTTAATTTATACCACTGAAAAACACTTGTGGGTGTGAAGAAGATGTCTCAAAGTATCACCATTTTTAGCAGCTTTTTGTGCATGTTTCGGGAGGTGTGTTAGCGCCACCTCGACCCAACTGACAACTCCAAAAATACAGGAAACTAGCAATTAATCTAGAAAGTTTGGAAAGTGCATAATGTAAAACACATGACGAGATCGGGGTAACAACAGATTTTTTTTGTGTGTTTCAGAGGCGTTTTAAGGATTTGTCTATTTTGTATAATTGTAAAGTTTTTTTTTTTCTTCTTTTCTTTTTTTTAAGATTCCTATTAATAATGCATTAGATTGGTACCCCCATTTGAGCTGCCATCTTAATGTGGAGGACAGGTTTGCACGCCTGAACGAGTCGGAGTCATGTTATCAGAGACTTCATGCCCCTGGTGTCACCCATGGTAAACAGATCCAGGAGGATGGGTCAGACTAACAACTGTCCAGAAGCCCTTTCTGATGAGTGTAATGTCAAGGCCAGTTGCTCAGGCTGGCAGACTGGTACCAGGTCTGGGGTTGGTGCTTGACAGTGGGCCTCTGGTGGCCAGGCACAGGCTCACGCGCTAGCCACATTCCAAATAGGAAGTGAGCTTGTGGGCTCTTCCGACTCCTTCTGACCCTGGCTCCCATTGACTTACGTTGAAATATTGTAGTCCCTCTCTCTGTAACTGCTGCTGAGAGTCATTTTGATCTTAAAATGTTCATATTAACACACTCTACATGATCCTGCTGTTTGTTTGTTTTTTGGGGGGGTTACGCTACTTTGCACTTTAAAGCTGAACACTATGGGTAATGTCACGCTCTCTTAGTCCACTTCTTTATACCGTCTATGTTCCAGACAAACAGAAACTGGCTCTGGGACATATCACCCCGCTGGGGGAGGAGCCTGAGCTCATGTAGGAGGTGGAGCGTTACAGGCTGAGATAGTCGGCCTTAACTCCGCCCACAGGCTTAGCTCTGAAATCCAGGTCCTCTTTCTTGGGCACCTCTCTGGGAAGGTGTTACACAGGCAGGTCCCACTGGAAGAGGCCACGTCCCTCCAGAAGAACTGGATGAAGCCTCCTCGACCCAGCCCCAGAAGAAGATGGATGGCATTAGTTTGCACAGTGCCTTTCCACACAAAGCTCTTCACAGCATTATTCAGTCACTCCACACACTAGTATCGTGAGACACTACTGAAGCCACAGCTGCTCTGGGGCAGACTGACAGGGGTGAGGCTGCTAATTTACCCATCTCTAGCCTGAGGACACAACAACAGTTTGCATTAGCCCTACTGCTACAACTACTGCCCCCCTTTGGCACCTGGTATTTTCAGTGGGCTCTAACCAGGCTTGAATGTTTGGCACTTGGACAGTCACCACTGCTGCCCTGGAGTGACCCATTGCTCTGGTTGAAAAGACTGCATTTATTTGGCCTTGTTCAGAATAGCAATGCCCCACCTCCAAACAGCAGCAGCAGCCGTAATAGACCATAGATGGACAATTTAGTTTCCAATTTACGATGTTCCGATGGTGGCATGTATTCATTTTGTGAGCAGGTTCCAGGCACCTTATCTCAAATGCTCTGACATGGGAATAATTGGGACTTAATCCTTTGTTTTGGGCCTCGCAGTGATAAATGACTCCAGTGAAATAAGTGACCAACCTCCTCACAAAGATCGATACGAACCCAGAGGTAGATCACAGATATTGGATTTCAAATGCTGGGCACAAGTTATGTCTATTTTAAGATCACAGCTTGGGGGAGCTTATGTGACAATGACGCAAATTTGGAGTTTAAAGTATTAAGACTTAACGATTTGGTTAAAAAAATATAAAATTTTTCTAAGAAGCATTGTGATTGTGAATACATTTGTGATTTGATTAAATAATAGTATTCTGTTCACAGTTTAAAACACTTTCCAGAGAACTGACCAAAAGACTGAAATCTGAACTGAGAAATTAATACAAGAATGACATTTCAGAACATGTTTGTACAGATCTAAACTACAGGGTTAGCAGTTTTTACACAGAATAAGACCCCATGGACACACAGGGAGGGCATCTGACACACAGGGAGATTTTAGAACATTGTACAGATCCAAAGAATGTAGAACTGCTCCCTTCACAATTTGCTAACTGTGGTCATTCAAATTACAATTTCTCTTGCAGCCCTAGAATGAATTAAGTTGAAATATTGTGAATTTGCATGTGTCATTAGAAAAGGGAAGGACGGACCAATGTGTGATTTTGATTGAATGCTTGAATCACATTTTAAATCAGGGTTGAACAGCTGAAATGTGTAATTGTAACTTTTCTGTGATTAGATCTGCAATTTATATTTCACTGAGGATTCCGATAAACATTTGAAGGAAGACTGAAAAATGAAGTGATAAACAAATACAAGAATCCACATTTCAGAGCATTTCAGAGGTCTAAACTACAGGGTTAGGGCTTTCACACAGAATGGGAGGCCATCTGACACACAAGGACATTTCTGAATGATGTTTGTATAGATCAACACAAGTTTCATAGTGTACATGTGCAGCTGAAAACTTGAAACCATAATACAGATTTAATCTTTTTTCTCTGATGGTTTTTATAACTTCTATACATTTTTGTAAGAATACTTGGTTGATATTGTTACTGCTAATTTATTTATGACTTGAGTTTTAAAGAAGATTTATAGTGCTTGTGTCTGTTCTACAGTTATAATCTCCGATACCTGTGGATCAATAGGTTATAATTTGGACATTTTAAGTCTTAATAATATATCTAACTTAAAAGAAAAAAGTGCGCTGACTTCCCTCCTATGAATAGCTGCACATCACACTAGCAAGAGGCGCATTTGTTTTTTCATTTGTACCAAAATGACTAAACAATGCTGCTGAATCCTAGTCTGATTCCTCAGCCGGTTTTACTTCATTTCACTTCATACAAACCATCTGACCTTGCAGCCTTAGATTTCGTTCGCTCGACGGTAGGCGGGTACTTTTTATCATTTAACCAATCGCTGCTGTTTGGTCGCGACGTATGTAATGGACCACTGACGGGGCTAACTGGTATATGAAGCTTTTCCCAAATCTCGTAGGAAGAAGGACAATAACGTCTTTCCCCTTGAAAAAATTCAAACATTCTCTTTGTTACAGCTTTAAATCCAAGATCTTGGGAATAGTTGACAACACATAATATCTGGCTCTTCGCTGATTGGCTGATGCCTGAGCTTACACTTCCGGGGGTTTTGCGAACCGTCAAGTGTATTTTGATTCCTGACCTAGTTGCTGGAGAGAAGTGAAATTGAGCAGAGGCATTTGGTGGCAACAGCCTGGCTAGCTGAATCCTACACGTACCTCCGATTAAGAAAATAAAATTGAAACTAAATAAAACAAAGTAAGCGCAAAGCAGTGGGTGTGTATTGCTGGCAGTGAAAATGGGGCTAGGTCAGTAAAATGGCATCTTGAAAATAAGTAATTAAAAGATGACTCAAACATGCAGAAATCAATCCAAATACAACTTCAGAGGGTCAATGAGAAGAAAACAACTATAACTTGGTTAAAAAAAGTCAATTTTGTAGAATAAGTCTGTTTTAAGTAAAGCTATATAAGAAGCATTGTGAGAAGTTTAGTCATCAATAGCAGTCTCTAGTCTCAGTGCAGTCTGGTCCATGTTTTCTTGTATATCGTATTTACCTGGAGTGAGTTTGCAGTGTTTGGGGAGCTCTTCGATGCCCTCTTTCAGCAGAACCGGAATCAGCACGTCGTAATTGGGCATTTCACTGGTCAGAGGAGCACAGGAAGCAACGAGAGGAGAGAGGGAGGGAAAAAGAAAACAAAAATCAATCCCAGCTCAAAGGGACAGTACTTCAGAAAACGTGGTTCTTGTGCAGTTAATTTATTCCCCAAAGTGAATAAATGTGAGAGTTGGAGACAGATTGGAGCAGCAGACAAGAGCAATTCCACAGAGACAAAAGCATGTAGTGGGGTCAATACAGGAATCAATATGGAGGAGAAATATAGTTATACTTGTTTTTTAATGTGTGGTCAATGGCAGTTACTTTGGAAAATTGATTTAATACAAAAATATCAAATTGTTGTGTTGTTAAAATGTCTAAAAGTATGGATTTTCGTGAAGTAAAATGGGAAGCGTCAATTTCCTAATAGCAGGTTTCACCATTTTAACTAATTAAGCTTGGCAAAGTCTATTAATTTGAGTTTTACATTTTGGACAGTGTCAAAAACAGTACTAAATGAACAGGAATAAACCAGGGTTGAGTCAGGACTGAACCATGATGAAGCCAGGACTAAACCAGGACTGAACTAGGAATTAACTATTACTAAACAATGTCTGAGCATGTAGATAGGGAAGTTTCCTGAAAAAACCCAAACTAAAGCAGGAAAAAACATGAATGAACCCATACTAAAGCAGGACTGAACCAAGACTAATTCATGGACTAAACCAGGAACTAAACCAGGACTGAACTAGGAATAAACCAAGAATGAACTAGGACTAAAGCAGATATTGAACCAGAACTACACCACAAATACAATGAACCAGGGCCTGAACCAGGGCCTGAACCAGGGCCTGAACCAGGGCCTGAACCAGGGCCTGAACCAGGGCCTGAACCAGGGCCTGAACCAGGGACTCGAGTTGCTGTAAATTCTCTAGGTCAGGGGTGTCAAACTCAAATTCACAAAGGGTCAAAATTAAAAACTAGGACTAAGTCATGGGCCAAACTAAATATTTATTGAAAATTTTCAACAACATCTGCATTTTTTTCTCTTCTTTTGAGGTATGTAATGTTAAACCTTTTCTTATTAAAATAAATGTTTAATAATAGTTTGTTTAAACATTGAATCCAGAACAAGCAGAATATAAAATAATAATAATAAAGAAATAATGTCTCTATAGTGTATATATGACTGTAGCCGGCGGGCAGCTTTAATACTTATTTGATATGATCTAGCGGTTCAAATATAATTATATCGCAGGCCAAATTTGGCTCCCGGGCCTGAGTTTGACATGAACTTAATCAATAACTCAGTTCTAACTCAGTTCAAACCATAGACGATAAAAAGTGGATTAAGTGAGTGTGTGTCACCCACAGCAGGTAAAGGGTGAATTTGGAGCCAGGCTCTATATTATAAATCTGATTTTTTTTTTTACGGACAAAATGGCAAAAAAATAAAAATAAAAATCAGGATCATATAGCGCGGGTTAGTACGAATATTTTAAGACCAAAATGATGAGGCTCACAGCAGCAGATACAGAGAGAGGGACCACAATATTCCACTGTAAATCAATGGGAACCAGAGTCAGTAGGAGCCGGAAGAGCCACATGAGAACTTCCTATTTGGAATGCTGCAGCTAGCACATTACCCATGCCCATTTATATATACAATATATACAGTCTATGGTTCTAACCCAGGACAAACCCTGGACTCAACCAGCACTCAACCTGGATTAAACCCGGTCTTCAATTGGTCTAAATCCCACAAATCAGCTCCTTGTGCATTACCAGTAGGTCTGTTTGAGGATGAGAGTTTTTTCTTCGATCCAGGAGCGTTTGCTGTCTGAGCTCATGCCTTTGCCAGCGTCGATCACAGCAGGGGGGAAATCTGAGAAGAGAGGGGGAAAGAAAGAGAAAAAACATCATCGGTTGGTGAGGATACAGGAAAAAAAAACTCAGGAGGAGGAGAGAAGGAGGAGGACTTCAAACACTTAAAACATACTATTTACAACTTTATCCATGTGGAGTTACACCAAACGGCTGTCTAAAATTATGATATTATGAAGTACAGGGAAAAGTAACATGAATGTGTCTTGAATGTTACACGGTACAGCATTAAAATTATCTTTCATATATATAAATAGATAGACAGAGTGAGAGACAGACAGAGACAGACAAAGAGAGACAGACAGAGAGAGAGAGAGAGAGACAGAGAGAGAAACAGACAAAGAGAGAGAGACAGACAGACACAGATAAAGAGAGACAGACAGAGAGACAGTGAGAGAGACAGACAGACATAGAGAGAGACAGACAGATAACATCTCCATGGAGACAGGCAGTAGTTACACACTGCGACTTTACATTTTGATACATGGAGCAAATGATGTAAGCCTTCAGTTTCATTTTCCCTGTACACTCCTTTTCACTGGAATACTTGTATTAGTGGCTGGAGTTTGGTATAATTCCAGTTTAATTTAGAGAAGTGGCCTACCTTTAATATTTATTACCACTTTTGTCTTTGCCGGGTTCTGTGCTAACGGCTAAGGAGACACTTTTAGCAGAACTGTCAGTGTCGTCTTACTTTTTACCACAGCCGCTTTAAAGCTACGCTTCTTTAAAAAGCTCTGATCCTGCTCTGTTCAGTTGACAATTGGCAATTACAGTAAGTCACAACGCACGCACAAGCAAACACAGTACACAGCGCAACTTTAAGGAGATGCTTCTATAAAATATACCTACTACAAAGCTTTAGTAATTCATCAAAATATTAAGTTTGTCATTACTTCCCATTTTGTAAGAGCAATTATTCACACATTTCACAAAAACCCACTTCATCACAGTAATATACATGAAACTATACTATTTATAATAACGCTCAGGTCCAGCTCCCTCTGTGCCTGCCCTGCTCTGACCTCTCTGATTAAATAAAACTAAAATTATTTAAAAACTGACCAAGAAAAACAAGACCAGATTCCTCCTAAGTCGATGCAAATGAGCTGCCAACACTTTCCACTAATTGAGCCTTATTAAAAACCTGAAAATCTGAAAATCTGAAGGGGGCGAGAGAGGACAGCTTTATTTTGTATTAGTCGTGGGCAGGTGAAGCCGGGGATAAATTAGAATAAATATTTCATTTTGTCAACAAAGAGAAATCACTTAGGCCTGTAATTGTTTGGCTTTATATGTGAATAAATCAAAAGTAATAAATGCAGGATATAGAGAAGTCTGCTGAAAGAATACAAAAGGAGACGCAGCAAGTTGTCGACATAACTTTCTATTTTTACTAAAGATAAAGTACAGATGATATTATTCTAACAACGACTAGCATACTAAGAGCGCATCAGCCTTACTTCCTGGTTCACAGACGATTAAAACCACATTAGAAACAGACAACAGCACTTGGGGTCATGAGCCTGCTGTGTGCTTTACAATATATCTGAACCGGGAAAGACAAATTTGACATTAAAAGGTTCCATATTCCGCTATTTACTGATCTATGTCATAATGTAGTTTCCTTTAATCTCTAAGAAAACTCAACAATGAATTTCTCCAGGCTTTCAAAAGCGGTGGGTTAGTTTCAAAGAGTAGAACAGTTTTTGAGTGACAAGTTGAAAATACCATATGACATTTTGAGTGTAGATTTTACCTTGTCCAGGTGGGGTCAGACACACAGCTTGGCTTAATGCAGACAGGACGCTCAGCTCCGCCAGGCCTATTCTTAGTTTCCCAGCCAGCGACCTGTCAATCAAAAACAAAGACCCGCCCTCTTTAGTATTCATGGCTGTATGCACCTGCTGCCACCAAACAGCCCTCAGCCATACCAATACACCTGCACTGCAAAACACATCTGTGATAAATAAAGTGAAGATTATGGATCATCTGAGTAGTTTTTGACAAGATTAGATGTATTTAAACAAGACTATTTGATGAATTGATGAAAAATATCAAACAAATGAGAAATTGTTGCCATTTTGTCCACAGTCAAGTTTGTCAGACTTTACTAAGCCTAAATTATTACTGTATCGTAGTGCTGTGTTGAAGAAGGAGCTGAGTCCAATGGCAAAGATCGAGATTTACTGGCTAAATCTACCTTCTGTCCCCACCCATGGTCATGAATTTTTGGGTAACAACCGAAAGGGCAAGATGGAGGATGCAAATGGTCCCTCCAGGACACACTGGAGGGACTAAGTCCCTGAGGCCTGGGAACCCTGGAGAGCCCCCGGAGGAGCTGGAGGAAGTGTCTGGGGTGTAGGAAGTCGGGCCTCCCAGCTCAGACTGCTGTCTCCGCGACCCAGGCCCGGATAATGAGGAAGAAAAAGGATGGATACTATCTACCAAACCAAGTCATAATTAGAAAAACATGAGATGTTAAATGTACTCTGTTCATGCATGTGTAGTAAAAATTGTACCAGATATTCTTTGAAAACCCTGGTTATAGTCATTCTAATTGAGGCAGATAACCTTTTTTGCAGTGCAGCTACTATGTCCTTCCCAACAAACACGCGCACACATACACACACAGACATACACACACACATACAGACCCACGGACATATATAAATAGTGGATTGGATCCGCTGGTGTGATGTGCGTTTTACCTGACGATGTAGCGCGCTTCAGAAAAACGACAGGCCACGAAAAGCCCTTTGATGATGTCGATTTTCTTATTCATGGCCTGAGGGGGCGACGGTGACGGAAAATGAGATTCACAGAGGAGCAGAAGAAGAGAGAGTGGAGGGAATGCAAAAGAGAGAGGTCACTCCACAAAATACACACAGATGGGAAATATACACATGACAGATGCTAATATGACATGGCTAACATGGAAAAGTTAATGGTTTGACTGACAGCAGACTGTGGGCTTGTGTTAAACAACATGGGCAGCTGCAATAGCTAAATAAAAGTTTAGAGGTTCTGTGGGAATGAAGAAATAATCTAAATAGTTTCCTATCTGAGAATCTACTGTTTCATAAAGAAAAAGATCATCATATTATAGTTAACACAGATGTTATAGAACAGTAATGATTAGAGCTGTCAACGACTAAAGACATTTTTGTTTCACTAAAGACACTTTCTGAATAAAATCATATCATGATATCAAATATCATAATAAAATAATACACAAATCAAAATGTTTACAATCCATTAATCTACTAAATGACTACAGTAATTGTAATGATTAGAAAATTTGGATTTGTTGCTGTTACCTCCTCAAAAACAGACCTGGAGTTGTGTTTTTTTATTTCATTCACACATGTTTGAGTAAACCTTTTTAATTATTAGTCTGTCTGCATCTCCCAAGATAAAAAATGCTCTGTACCACTTTGTGATGTAATATAGTGGTAGTTTAGCTACCTTTTATCTTTAGGTCAGTAGAGATTAGTAATTCCAGGGCTGAAATCATCCAAATGATTCTAATGAAGAGGTATGGAGTTTAGAGCATTACCACATGACATCACAAGTGTTTTCTGTTTGAGAGAAAAAAAAGCCTAAATCTGCAGGGCTTGTGTGTTAAACATGAGAATAAAACAAAACACACCTCCAGGTTTGTTTGTGATGATGAAATAACATTAGAACATTGATCAGAAAATAGTGTCATATGGGCCCTTTAAAGAGGGAGTCCTATACTAAACTAAATTTTCTGAGCTTTCTACCATGTTCCAACAATGTTCATTTTCCAGTGAATACAGCATTTACAAAGCAACAAAGGTAACAGGATTTAAATAAGTTTTGTTTAAGCAATTAATAAGTGTAAAACCCCCTCTTTAATGTAAATCTACAGGTGAGAACAGTCCAGACTCACCGAGTTTCCACTCATGGCTGCGATCTCCTTCAGTTTCTTGAACACAGCGGTGGCGGTCAGGCTCGCCGGCTGGAACATCATCCTTTGATTACTCCGAGAGCTCTCAGCAACCAGTCCTAGGTCCCCCTTCTCCTGAGCCTCCGCTTTGATTTTATCCAACTGACGACCTATAGACAAAACAAGAAACTACAATGAATGATCCTTTATTTTATTACCTAGGATGTGCCCCTGTTAGGTCTTAAACGCATTTCATCTTTTATCAGTTTTCACATTCACCTGTTGTCTGGGCCACGGCCTTCATGAGCACCGTCTCTCCCACTCCCAGCTCCATCCCCAGGTAGGCGGGGCCCAGCTGGTTTAAGCACAGGTACACACAGCACAGCAGGTCATCTACAGGAGAGGAGGAGGGTCAGGTATCCCATAATGCAACAGGTTAACCCACAATGCAACAGGTTAACCCCCAATTCAACAGGGCATTCAACAGAACAGGGCAATACAATGACATGTAAAAAACAAGGGCTGTGTCTGAATGTCTACCTCAGCCCCTAACCCCTCATTCACTATATTGTCCTGGAATATTTAAAGGACTAAACCGTGCACTCTTTCACAGTGATTGAGACTTCAGACGCTCACTACAGTCAGGTCATGTGACTCTGGCATCTGGGTGAGAAAAGTGTAAAGACTAAACTCTGATACGACTTGATTTCTGTCATAAATAATGATCAGATCAGACTGGCATGAGTATTTATGGACTAATAATAACAATACTTTTTATCTGAGATGTGAACATTAACAGCTCTAGGGAAGGTAAGCACCTTACTCTAGCACCTTTACACCATGACAATTTATTTAAGAGTGTTTTATTCAGATTTAGGATATATAGTGCCATAAACCAGAGCTTCATTTGATTCAGTCACTGTCCAATTTTCAAGGTGCATTGTTGGAAATATTGAGTGCACTATTTTTTCATCTGCTGGACATTTGGACACCACTAAAAATGGCGTGACCCCTAAATAGTGCCCTGAGTAGGGAGTGTGGATAGTGTGGATTCGGTTACAGCCTCAGTAAATGATAAAATACAGTAGCCTGACAGAAGCCAGTTCTTTCAGTCCAGTCAGTCAGAGCAGTGCCTATAGTTAGCATCACCCCCCAGGAAATGTTGTGAAGACATCAGCTGCAAAGTATCAATTGTGGTCTTAATCATGTTTTACAATCACACATCAGTTACTATGATACTGACTCCAGCCTGGACAGTTTTCATAAAAGTTGTGTAATTTAAACCACGGTGAAGTTTGGATAACAAAGGCCCCAGAGCTGTGTTTGCATAGAGAAAAGCACTTCTCCCTTTGTCAGCTCCAAAATTGGACTGAGCCTAAAATAGACTCCTCTCACACTGTGTATTAGCCTGGACTCAGAAACAGAAGAGAAGTGTCAGAAAACAGAGGGGTTCATTTATCGTGACTTCAGGTGGAATAAGCTGCTCTCTCACAGTTAAAGGGTTTTTTTTCACAATCACGTCAGCTTCAGTTCAACATCAACATGAGCTCCCCCTCCCCTCTGTTTTCATAGCATGCACTCAAAGTCTCAAAAAAGGAAATCCCTAGAGACAAGACAAGATCTCGTGCCGCAAGATCTCACGAGACAAAACTGACATGAGATTGTGCACACATGCTGAAAATGAGCTCGTGAGATTTCTTTTCCATGTTTTTACGTTTGGATTGGACAACAAAATAAAGTACTGGTGAGTTACATTTTTTGAAAAGCCCAAAAGAAGTAGTGTTACAGTGACAAAAATATTAAATAACGCAAATCAAAAAATGGTGAACTGGACTGAAAGAATGTCAAACTCTTGTCTTGTCTCGTTCTTGCAGATCTAATCTCATGTCTCTCAAGTCTCGCCCCACCCTAGATTTCCCCATACCATATTTTAACGTTTATTGCTCAGAATTATTCCCAATTAGGGATGGGCATTCGATGAAATTTTCTTAATCGATCGTCGGAAGAATTAACGATCGATTATCGATTAATCATTAACGTTTAATTTTAAAATGATCATCATTATTATTACTATCTGCACTACTAATCTGCATAAATAAATTCAACTTTACGACATATAAACCGTAACCACTCTAGAGCCACATCAATCCGTTTGACATTATAATGTGTTTAATTCAGTTTTGCGCAACTCTCACAGAAACGAAACTTAAAACCGCATCGCTAATTTGCATAAACTCAGCGAAGATAAAACTACAGCTCTTGTGTCACTGATGCGGTCAATTTCGGTCGGATTAAAAGACATGATTCAGTGGAATACAGGTTAGTGTGACCAGATTTGTGTTTGTCAAAACCAGGACACTGTATGGGGGGTGGGAGGTTGGGACTCGTCATCCACATTGCGCGACTCTCACCTGGCAAAGCTTTTTCCCACTGGACACAGAAACATATGTGCTTCTTTGTACACTGTGCACAAGGACTCCCACTTGTCCCGAACGCAACGGAAAGCGTGGAATTTCTTGTACAAATCATCGTTAAATACATATTTGTGCTTTGGCACACTGCAGGCTGACCTACTGTTTGTGTCTCGCTCCTTCTGAGTGCAGAGAGACACATGTATGGACCCCTGTTTGGTCACGCTACACACAGCAACCTACATTCGGTTTGTGGATTAAAATTAACGTAATCGATGAAATTCTTAATGATCAATTATCGATTAATGGATTAATCATGCCCATCCCTATTCCCAATTATTAAAATTCCTGCATTACCGTAAATTCCAGACTACTGAGCACACCTGAATATAAGCTGTATCAACACAATTTTAAGAATTTAAGAAATTTTCAGAAAGCTTTTGTCATCTTTTTGCATTGAGTCTGCCGTCACCAAAATCTCACCATTGACTCATTGATGCCGAGTTTATGTGCAGCAGCTCTGTATCCTCCTTTGACAGCCACATCAATTGCCGTTCACTTAAAAGCTGCATCATCGGCGCATCACCCTGTCTCTCCCCACACTCTATGGCGCATTTCTCCTGCAAGAGCCTCTGTCCTGTCTGTATTATGTCAGTGTCTTGTAGGATTTCAGCACCTGGTGGGCTAGACTAGTTCAATCAGGTATGAGTGGATGTCCGGCTATTGAAGTTTGAGTCGTTTCCCTCCCTGTTAATTTAGCATAATAACTTATTTGATCAGATGGCGATAAGTGATTTGAGTACATTGACAATATCACTAGCTCGTGTAGCAACTTAATGTTAACCCTAGATCCATGTGTAACCGCACAGACAGCAGCGTTTTCTGCACTCCGGCTGCACGTAATCACTGTGTTGCCAAACCAGAGACTGTATATATGAATGGACAATGTGCCAAACAAAGAATCCATCCATATATTAGCCGCATCGTTTTAATAGCCGCAGGATTCATAGTCTGAGAAAAAAGTAGCGACTTATAGTCTGGTACACATAACTGATTATGTGTTCTAATGGGACCAAACTCGGAACTATGAATGTTCTTAAAGGGCCTATATTATGCTATTTCCTGATCCATGTTATAATGCTGTTACCTCATCAAAACAGACCTGGAGTTGTGTTTTGTTTCATTCACATTCTACATTAGCAAAGCTCAAAATGCTCTGTTCCACCTTGTGATGTCATGAAGCAGTAGTTTTCAAGTTAACAGCTACCTCTTAACTTTAGTTCAGTAGAGATTGGCAATTTCCGTGCAGAAATAATGCAAATGATTCCAGTGAAGGCGTATGGAGTTTAAAAACACAGTGTATGACATCACAAGGTGAAACAGAGCGTTTTCAGTTTGAGAGGAGAATATAGGCCCTTTAAATGTATTCATAGCTGTGAGCATGGCTCCATTAGAATACATTACACTGTATGAAGTCCTACATTGAGCACATAGACTGCAGTGTAATAAAGTTTTGATTGATTGATTGAGACTTTTGTTTACCTGGAGACAGCAGCAGCACCGAGCGGAAGAAATTGGACAGAGTCTCGATGTTTCTGAGCCTGAAAATGACAAAATACAATTCACATTAGAAGTAAACAGAACTTGATGAAAAATGCAGTCACAGGGTTAAGGCCAGGGGTGAGATCTGTCAGACTGGATATGAGCCACTGTGTCTTTATGACATTTTATAAAGTAAAAACATATTATACTACAAGGACATCTGCCATTTTATATCTCCTATACAGAACCATTTCATTCACTAGAGTTGCTCGCCTGGTGTTGCTTTCAAACAGGCTAATGCAATTTTACTCTTTCTCTGTGTCTGTTACGTAACTTTTATGGATTTATAATAATGTTCCACAGTATGGCATTAAACTGATGGATGCTTCATGGATAGCTCAAGTTACAGGTTAGAGGCTACCCCGTGCACGGTATAGATTATTATTACCTCAAAATACATGTAAAGCATTAATAAAAATATCAATGATGCAATTAAGACTAGATAGATGCATTAATGCCATACTGTGGAACATGAGAAGAACCGGTGATGAACATGACAACAGAAAAGTTACTTAGTTGTATCTTTAATAAATTGTATTCTAGGCATTTGACAATTATTACCAATTAGTATATGGCATTACATTACATTACAATTAACTATTATTTTTAGTTTACAGAAGTATAGATTTATTTAAAGGTGCATTGTGTAACTTTTCTGGTGGACAAATGCGTTTCTCCATGGAGATGTTATATTGCTTTGTCTGGAATGTTTCCCAGTATGATTTTAAAGCTTTCTATCTTCATGGAGACCAAACCAAGCCAAGTTACAGGTCAGATCAGTGGAGAGGCAACCTTGTTCACAGTAGGAATGCCTGTAGAGCTATTTAATGTGATACTGGAGTCAGGCTGGCGCCACCTAGTGCCACCACTCAATTTACTTTCTCTCCAGCAACTAGGTCAGGAATCAAAATACACTAGACGGTTCGCAAAAACCCCGGAAGTGCAGGTTCACGCACCAGCCAATCAGCGAAGAGTCATATATTCAGTGTTGTCAACGATTCCCAAGATCGAGGATTTAAAGCCAGAATAAAGAGAATGTTTGGTGAATTTTATCAAGGGGAAAGATGTTATTGTCCTTCTTCCTATGGGATTTGGGAAAAGCTTAATATACCACTTAGCCCCGTTAGCAGCGCATTGCATATGTGAATCCAAATAGCAGCGATTGGTTAAATGATAAAAAGTACCCGCCTACCATCGAGCGAACAAATCCTAATACTGCGAGGTCAGACGGTTTCTATGAAGTGAAACCAGCTGATGAATCAGGCTAGCCATACTGTGGAACATTGCAAACAAAGAAATAACATCTCAGCATGGAGAAAAGCATTCAATGGACCCTTCGCCAGAAAAGTTAAACAATGCACCTTTAAGTGGAACTAAACACTAAATCCACTTTTTGTGCCAATAAAATGTGTATACGGTGTAACAGCATTGGGGGGGCCTAAATCCAAGTCTGTGCTGCCTTCAGTGGCCTCCAGTAGTTGGTGACATCACAGCGAACTGCCCTGATTACAGCCAGGTGTTTCTGATTTGAAACAACTATGGGGGATGGAGTTTGAAGTGTGGATACCTGTTAGATCAATCGCACTGTTTCTTATACCTCTTGTTATACTTTTCTGAATCCCCCTCCCCTTGCTCTCTGTGTTGTGACAAGAGAGAGTGACTTCACACAATCAGCGTGCATTCCGCTAAAGAAACTATTGCACATCAAATTAGGTTTCTCAAGTTGCACAGTACAGTTTTGCATCATGCGGCATAGGCTTGTGAGCGGAGTCTTGGACAGAATCTTACAGCTAACCATAAACAGGGTTAGAATAGGGCTCAAGAGAGATCGCTAGATTACTCAAACATGCATGGATGATATTTAAAACTTCTTCAGGCATGTTTTTGATGTGGGAACACCAATATAACACGGTAGAAAGCTCCAAAAACTTGCATTTGCATTACACTCTCCTTAATGATGTACCAAAGGGTTTATGAGAGCTGGGAACTAGATAGACTTAAATATATACATCCTTAATTTGCTGTTTGAAAAGCAGGTACCCCACTTTTAACGATAATAAGTCAAATTTTGTTAAAAAGAATAGAGAAAGTTTTTAATTTAAGACTCCAGATTCTGTCTTTGACCTTATGAAACCAATTTCCATTTCGTATCATTTTTAGTATGTGCTCAATTAAAAGGTGCAAAGTTATCTTCCGTAAAGACTTCAAAAGCACCTTGAAGATGGAGCCAAAGAAACCCATTATTTTTACTTCACTAGACTCAAAAATGAACCATATTTCTACACTACAGCACTCATAAAATCCTCGCTCCAATTATGTTCAACCAGAAACTCTCAGAACACTGGGTTATACAGGCTTTGGGAGTAAAGACGGAGGATTGGGAGTTTACTACTAAATAAATAATGTGAAACTGAACAAAACAATGTAGAAATATAACAAAAGCAACATTGTGATAATAGTTAGGCAGAGAGCAATGGAGTTTTTTGTTTTTAGTAGTCAAAATTAGAGAATTATACAAATGTTTATAGATGCCATGACAACAACAAAAATGTGAAATGCTTAAATCACTTTGATTCAATCCTGTGAGCGAGTGAATGAATGAAGGGATGGAAATTTAAATGCTTCTCTAGAATATTGAATAACTACTACTGTTCCATCTTTATTATGCATCTTTATTATTCCACCTTGCTCTACTGTGTTTTTAAAGTCCATACACTTTCACTCTAGAATCATTTGGACAATTTCAGCCAATCTCTATTAAAGTAGATTAAAGTAGATAAAAAGGTAGCTGTTAACTTGAAAACGACCACTGCATGACATCACAAGGTGGACTAGAGCATTTTGAGCTTTGGAGATGTAGATAATAAAAATAATAAAGGGTTGCTCAAACATGAGGTGAATGAAACAAAAAACAACTCCATGTCAAATCTCACAAGAGTCAATTTTGTGAAATACAGTATATGACCTTGAACCTCCACCAAATGTTTACATTATTTATTTGGTGGTTAACCCCACATCTACATTTTTGTGGTGATTGTTGTAACACGCCACAGTTTCTCTCAAGTGAAGTGGGAGTCCTTCAACCATCTTTCAGCTCAAAAGTGGGAATTCCCAGTTTGAGCCGCGTTCCAGAGTGTTTTAACAATGTTAGTGATGGATTATTGTCATCATTTTCTCCATTATTATCTATAATAATGCTATTTATATGTCATGTCAATCACTATTTTTTCTTTGTACTGTTTCTTCTTATGACCTCTAGTACATAACTGACATATTACTATATTTCTATATTTTATTATTTTTACTTCTACACATACATTTATATAATTATGTCTTATTTGACACTAGTCTCTTGCTATTTTTGCTACTTATTTTGAATTTATTATTACTAGGGCTGGGTATCATTAAGAAGACACCGATACATACCTCAACACATAGGCCATGATACAATACATATCTCGATACAGTGAGCTTACAATACGATACAATATATTTCAAATCTATCTATTTTATACGGTTCAGTAAAAAATAAAGGCTAAATCATGGCTGTGACACGAAAAGTCTTTGTTAAACCACTTCTTGTGCAAAGTGAAGATGAAGCACAAACATTTTAATCATCAAAACAGTGAAAATGTCAAATGTGTCACATAAATGAGTTTCCTTCCACTAAACAAGTGACAAAACTGTAGCGCTGGAACAAAATAATTTAGTAAAATACACCAAAAAACACTCTTGGCGATATATTGATACAGCAGCCCACGATATTGATACTGTATCATCCCATTAAACGATATGATACGATATATTGATATTTTTGTACCCCCCTAATTATTACTATTTATATTTTTACTCTTTGTTACTATATTAAACTGTGATGTGTAAACTACTGTGTCCAAGTCATTTCCCTTGTGGAGCAATAAAGTTTATTAAAAAAAAAAAAGTGCTGTATTTAGCTCAGTCTGTTTATATAGAGATCTTAGCTGAACATGTGTGTACATTACCTTCGTAAACACTGATACGTATGACCACTGACCAGTGTTTATTTAGTACATTTGTACATCAACAACAGAATCACAGCATCTCAAAATCAATCGGACTTTTTGTTAAAAGTGTGTGAGTCTCACCTGCCGGAATCCTCTTCAATTCTCTCAAAGGTGCGCGCCACAGCCAGATACGGCACCCTGGAACAGTCAGATTAGCATGTCGTTAGCATCCTCGCATTAGCACAAAGGTAATTTTAACATTCACACCATTAGGCTAAGTCAGCTGTTCTCCGCAAAGACCAATTAGCGCTACAAGGAGATGTGGTTTGACCAGCGGAGTTATCAAAATGTGAGAACAACACGGGGCCCAGGAGCTAAAGGTCACTGTTGTCAAAGGACGAGAGCCAACCGGACAAAAAACTGCCACCAGGAATTATTAAACTCTCGAGCTTCAGCGTAAACACAGCTAGTGTCCTTTTCAAAAAACACACTGGGCTCAGGTACAGGAGCTGAACTTTACACAAGAGGGACTTGGCTCTGTAAATTTTCACAATACTGAGCTAAAATGATCAATCTTTCAAATGGCAGGTGGCTACTTGGCAAGAAAAACCACAACACTAACAAAATGCTCTCCCAATTATATACAAGCAATAATATTAAAGGTGCACCATGTAACTTTTCCGGTGGAGAGGCAACCCCGCTCATAAGAGGTCATTAGAGTAATAAAACCACCAAGCACTCTGTATTTTATTTTAGAATTTTCACATTCACGGCGAGTCACAGTATCACTTCTATAGCTAACACGTTGTACAATAGCCTGTTAATAGAAGGTTCTATTACCTCCTTGCTCAGTTATTTTTATTTCTTTGTTATCAGAGCACATGGATCGCAATTTAGAGCAGAAGAAGCTCCTTTTTAAAACCACCAGTTGGCGCTATAGTAGACACCATTGACACTCATACACTGGTGAGTTTAATGTCATACAATGGAACCACTTAAACTGAACTTAAAGGGCCTTTATTACACAATTTTCTGAGAAAGTTTTAATGCTGTTGAATCATCAAATACATACCTAAAGATGAGTTCTTCTCTCAAATGGAAAACACCCTATTCCACCTTGTGAAGTCATGTGGTGATTCAAGAAGAGCTCTACTTTGTTCTTAAAACTCCATACACCTTCACTAGGATCATTTTGGATCAATTCAGCCTTGGAATTGCCAGAAGGTAAACGTAGCTCTTAACTTGAAAACTACCACTAAATGACATCACAAGGTGGAACAGACCATTTTGAGCTTTAGAGATGTAGAGAGACTAATAATAAAGGGTTACTCAAACAAAGCAACTCCAGGTACCATATTTTTCGGACTATAAGTCACACCAGCCAAAAAACGCGTAATGAAGAAGAAAAAAAACATGTAAAACGCACTGGATTATAAGTCACACTTTTTGGGGGAAATTTATTTTATAAAGTCAGGGACCAGGAACCAACATTTCATCTTGAAAGGCAAGTTATAGTATTAACAATAGAATAAAGAACAGGCTGAATAGGCGTTAATATGCTAACGTCACATTAACAGTTCTTCAGATAACTATAACATAAACAACAGAACATAAGTTTACCAAACTCTCCATCTCACTCCAAATCACTAAACCCATTGAATCCTTCATCCTCGGTGTCACTTCTGAGCAACTCCGCGCAACTTTGGTTGTCACTGAAATCCATGCTTTGTGATCCAATGACTTCCAGGAAAGTTACATGGCGCACCCTCCTGGCTATCATGAAGCTGTGTTCTCCATTCCCGCTTTTTGCCAGTCCCTCAACTTTCTTTCTGCTGCATATTTCATTACTTGCAGCAGGACAGTGGCTTTTTCTACAGGAGACATGCGCAGAAAACTGATACACAAACCTAGAGCTCCCTCTCGTGGTGGTTAGTCTGGAGTATAAGTCACAGGAAACACCCAAACCATGAAAAAAGTGTGACTTATAATCCGAAAAATATGGTTTGTACCTTATAACATGGCTTAAAGCTCACGAGAATCAATTCTGTGTAATATAGGACCTTTAAGTAGAAATGTAATGACCAGCAAAATAGATTAAATTGTTATAATTAATGACAACTCCTACTCACTTTTGTCCGTGCTTCCAGCAGGCGTCGTTGATGGGGTGATAGTTTGGTCTGGAAGGATTGTAGTCGGTCTGTCCTGATGTTACCTCACTGAAAATTAAAAACATAAAAACACTCATATGTAACAATAATACAGATTCACTCTAATAATACACAGCATAACAGATGTGCAAGTCAGTGCACCCGAGCTGATCAGAACAAAGGCTACATACACCATTTTTACAATAATAAAGCACTTTAATGAAATTTTGTGACATTTTAAAAAAAAAGTTTCATTATATTGTTCTTGCCAAAAGGAAAAAAAAAATGGGTAAAGTTCAGCTCAAACAACAAAGTTCCTCTCAAAGTAGCTCAAGTTTTAAAGCACTTCAGAAGGATTACATAACCAAAATAGCGTTTAAAAATGAATGACTTTTTACATTAATATTTAGTTGAGACCGGTTCTTTCACATAATAATAATGCATTACTTTTATCTAGACACTCAAAGTCACTTAACTATGTGTTGTATAATTCATTGACTCACTCCACGACACTCTGGTTTAAGAGTCTGTGCAGTCTGTAGTCACACGTGCCCAGAGGCAGACTGTCAGAGATGTGGCTGTTTACAACTGCTTTCGCGCCCCACTAAACCAGAAATCAGAAATTAAAATAGGACTAAACAAGGACTAAACCAGAGCCGAACCAGGACTGAACCACAGCTAAACCTAGAGTAAAGTGGGACTAAACCAGGAGTAAACCAGGTCTAAATCAGAACTAAACCACAACTAAACCAAGAGTAAACCAGATCTAAACCAGGACTAAACCAGGTCTAAATCAGAACTAAACTACAACAAAACCAGGACTAAATCACAACGAAACCACAACTAAACCAGAAATAAACCATAAGTAAACCAGGACTAAACCAGGACTAAATCAGAAATATAGCACTACTAAACCAGGAGTAAAACAGGACTAAACCAGGTCTTAATCAGAACTAAACTACAACAAAACCAGGACTAAATCACAACGAAACCAGAACTAAGCCAGGTCTAACTCAGAACTAAACCACAACTAGCTCCTCACTCCACCAATGTAGGTGTAGAGTAAAGCCTGTTCGCCTGTAGTCACATGTGCCCAGAGGCAGGCTGAAGGAAGTGTGCATTTTTCTGACAAGAATTGTGGTTAAATATTAATAACAGGATTTGGTTCAGATTTTAAACACGTCAAGAATGAAATAAAACACCTTGAAATGTGAAATGACAAATACAAGAATCACATTTCAGAACATGTTTGAACAGAACTAAGCTACAGGGATCCAAGTTATTATGCAAAATAAGAGGAGATTTTGTTGTTTGTGAAGGAAATTATAGTGCTTTAAAAATTGCAGCCTTCATGATTTGCTAATCGCATCCATTCAAATTATTCCAATTTAAAGGTGCATTGTGAAGCTTTTATGCTTTTATGGTGGAGGGTTCATCACCTGCTTGTTTCCATGGATGTCACTGTTCTGCCTGTAATGGCATTCTGACTGTGAGAGGGGTGGCCTCTCCACAGATCTTACCTGTAACTTGGTCAGGTCTCCATGAAGAGAACATCCCAGAAAAAGCAATAACATCTCCATGGAGAAAAGTATCTGACGCGGACCCTCCCACAGAAAAGTTACACAATGCACCTTTAAACAACTTGATAAAATATAATTACTTGAAGCTAACTGAAATGAAAAGACTAAACCACTATAAAATACAATTTAAACGTCACATTATATAAATGGTATCCAAAAAAATTTGTAGAATTAAGCAGGCTTGCATCTCCACAAACCTGACTCTGACTTGGCTTGGACGAGCACCTCCTCCTGCTTGTTTCCATGGAAATGTTGTTTCTTTTAGTAATAATGCTCCACAGTAGATCTTAAAACGTATCTCCACAGAGAATGAGAAGTATAGTTTTAACTTTTCTATTTCTGTGGAATCCTGCAGGTAAACGTCCCACCTCTAGAAAGTTACACACTGCACCTTTAAACATTTAAGGCACTATAAGTGATTTTTACTTATGAACGTGAAAACAGTTACTTCATTTTCTACAGTTTGTCATGGTCCAAGTTTATAACTCAGATTCCAACCTTCCTATTATTCTCTGCAATGAATTTATAAGCTCCTTTCAGACCAGAGAAGAATTTTGTCATCACCTCATAGTTCGGAGGATAAAAACACTTATACACACTTATTTTGACCCTAAGAGCTGCTTATACAATATATCTGCACTGGAGCAAGACACATTTTATTTTACTACATGAAAAATGGTGTCCAGCCCCTTCAAGCAGCTCCACCTCATTATAACAGCTGTTACTTTTTTTCACTCAGACTCCCCCTCACCTTTTGGCCGTCACGAGGCTGACAGACTCTGGATGAAAAAACGTGTGTTTGGTCTCATGTTATAAATATTTGTCATTTTGAGGTCATCGTCAGCAGCGCGCTCGCACACACCTACTCACACACACACACCTACACACGCAGAGTGACAGAGGTTTGTTCAGACGTGACAGTGAATGGGGGAATTAGAGAGTCACTGTGATCAGTCTCATGTCAGGGCCAGTTATAAATGACATCCTGTATTTAAAAAGGTACACAGAGTTAAATTGCCTGTACCGGAGTTTTTTTCATGAATCTGAGCAAAATATGTAGACAGTAAAAATGTGGTACAGTGCCCTTAAAGCAGTCAGTATTACACTAAAATACAGGAAGTGGCCCACTGTGTTTTTAAACTCCATCCACCTTCACTAGAATCATTTGGGGCAGAGCATTTTGAGCTTTGGGGATGTAGACAGACTAATAATAATGGATTACTCAAACATGTGTGAATGAAACAAAACACCTCCAGGTCTGTTTTTGAAAAGGTACCAGTATTGATGATGATTTAAAATGTTAACTAATTCTGACTCATTTCAATACAGTAGTTGTTATTCTCTTTATGGACAGAGTTTGTAGAGGATAGTTTTCCGTTTCCAGGCCTCACGCGCAGTAGAGTCCATCTTTAGATTTGTCTTGGTTTTCTCCTCCGCTGCACACGTCCCTTCCACTTTGAGCCGAGGAGCTAAAATGGCTTCTCAGTTGCGTTCTAAATGGACTGAGCGAAATCTGTGAGGTTTCAAATGGGTTTGTTTTATACGAATAAAATCTGGCATTAATTCTTCTTAAGCGACTGCTGGAGCAAAAAAGACAAAGATTGGATTTACCTGTGCAGAGTAGCAAAGCGCTCCTATTGGATAATTACTGAAGTTATTTAGTCTTGGCAGAATTGTTTTCAGCTTTCTAACTATCCACAAACCAGAAGATGTTTTGCAAAATAAATGGTTTTGTTAGGATCATTAGGGTAATAGGCTTTCGTGATCAATAATAGAATATAGACTGTCTGATTCAATAATGAGGCTTTGATTTGACTTTGAACTTTGATCTGTGGTGAAGCAGTTACCTTCTCTGACTTCTCCTGAATGTATCAACTAAATATATTTTTGTATATATATATTTTTTAATCACATCATAATGATATATGCATGTCATTTTCAATATATTACGCATTCTTATGGCTTCAACTCCTTTTTAAACAGGCTTCTGAACATCTTACACCCTGGATTCCACCTGTTCAACCTGTTCCCTTCTGGCAGGCGCTTCAGGTTAATTCCAGCTAGGACCAACAGACTCGGGGACAGCTTCTTCCCCAAAGCTGTCACCATACTTAATGAGAACTGTTAATTTGTTTTGTTTATTATTCATTCTTGCACTTTGACGGAACAGCTCTGAATTTCAATATACTCTTGTATAATGACAATAAAGGCTGTCTATTCTGTTCTATTCTTAGTTAGAAAATGTGAAATACTAAATACTCATTTAAAAGGCATGGGGGCACCCTCGAGTGTCAACAGTGGGAATGAACAATGAAAAAAAAAAATGAATCCATAGGTGAGATGATCGCAGTGTTATCAGAGCCATGCATTTGTCATAAACACCATCTGAAATGCTCAAAACAAATCTGATGAGGGTTTAAAAACTGTAGAGGAAACTCTTAGATACTACTTATGCTGCAACTATCTGGGAAAATTTCAAACTGAGTGATCTCTGAGGAGTGAAGAAAGAGCTCATTAGCAGGATTAAACACATCGCATCAGGTTTGTCAAGTCGTTGTGTACATTTTGTACCCTGCTTTTGTATATATTTATGGAGAATTATGGATTTGGCTTGTGGGCGGAGTCTTGTACAGAATCTTACAGCTAACCATAAAGAGGGTTTGAACAGGGCCCAGGAGAGATCACTAAATTATTGAGACATGCATGGATGACATACAAGCCTCTTAGGGCATGTTTTTAATGAGGGAACAATTAAAAAACTAACAAACAGCATAATATGCCCTCTTTAAAGGTGCACTGTGTAACTTTTCTCATGTAGGGTCTGTCACCACTTCTCTGGAGATATTGCCTGGAATATTCCACAGTATGGCATTACACTTATGCATCTCTATGAATACAGCAGGTGACACCACGAGGCCAAGTTACAAGTCAGATCTGTAGAGAGGCGTGTCGACTCACAGAAAGAATGAAAGATTTTAGGTCAATAAAAACCCATGTTACTGAGTAAATGTGAGATGGATACATTTCATACAATACCAAAACATTTCAGACATGGACTAACATCTCCATGGAGACAAGCAGGAGGTAAACCCTCTACCAAAAAAGTTACACACTGCAGCTTTAAATCGTAATTATGTTTGTCAGAAAAATCCCAATTAAATGTTTGCCAAAATTCATCCAGCCCCATTTTAACCGACTATATGGAATATTAACATTTGTAGAACACATCTCACCTTTTACTCTCCTCTCCCAAACTCTTTCTCTCTGTCTTCTTTTCTTCACCTCGCTCTACTTTCTCAGTTTTCACCGTCACTGCTGCTGCTTTTCTTGGAGCTATTCACAAAAACAAACAAATATAAAAAGGTGAGGAGGGCGAAGGTTCAGACCTGAGCTAAAACATGTACTTGTCTCTGTTTGATAATAAAAGCTTTGCACATTTAGAGACAGTTTTATAGCAACATGCACGAAAGCTAACGCCGTACCAAAGAAACTGCTGATTGCCGGTTTCTTGGCGGGCTCCTTATCTCCTTGTGTATTCTCGGCTTGACTTTTGGAGCTTTCTTCGTCCTTTTCAGGCATTTTTTTCTCAATTTTTGTCGCCGTGGTGACAGTGGTTGGTTTCTCATCATCATAAATCTTGTCTGTTTTTGTAGATGCTTCTTGGATGGGTTCCTCTTTGGCCTTTTCAGACTGGAGCAGCTCATTTGCAGCAGTGGATTTGGCGGTAACAGCCTTTTCAGTGCTCTCCTGCTTGGTCTCCTCTTCCATTGGCTCATCAGCGCTACCTGGACAAAGCAAAAAGAATGAAGTGAAAACTGGCTAGATATGGTCCATTCTATGATAAAGCAAATATATTATTTGTCATGAGGTTGCCAAACACATTAATGAACAATAATGTTAAAATCCCTTTCATTTAAAAGGTGCATTGTGTAACTTCTGGAGGGTCCGTCAAATGCTTTTCTCCATGGAAATGGTATTGCTTTGTCTGGAATGTTTCACAGTATGGCATCAAACCTTTCTATCTTAATGGAGACCTAACTAGACCAAGTTACAGGTCATATCTGTGGAGAGTAATTTGATAAATGTAAGGTAGAGCTGTTTAATGTCATACTGTGGAACATTCCAGGCAGAGCAGTTACAAATCTCTAGAAACAAGCAGGTGATGAACTAACCAAAATGTTACATAGCGCACTTTTCAACAGAGCTGAAAACAGGTGAGAGCCCTCAGGTGGAGTTGGCTGTGTATCTGTCAGATGATCTGGTTTATGATTCATATCTCTAATTCCACATGAAACAAAAACTGGCACCATGTTCTTCTCTGTCAATATAAATAAACAAAAGTGATTTTTTTTTCACAATAGCTTCAGAAAGTAATGTGACTTGTTAGCTGAAAGGACTTTCAAGGTGCGCTGTGAAACTTTTCTGAAGGGGGGTCCATCACCTACTTGCCTCCATGGAAATATTATCGTTCCACAGTATGGAATTAAACTCTATTATTACAGTGGAGACAAGTTAATGGCCACATCTATGGAGAAGCAAGGTATTTTTTTTTAGCTATGAAACACGAACAAGACAAAGATGTTTAATGCCCTACTGTGGAACATTCCATGCAAGGAACTAGCATCACCATGGAGTCAAGTAAGTAGCAGATAGTGCACCTTTAACCTATAAGAATAATGTGACAAATTTGTGGAGCTGATCCCAAACAAATAATGAGAAGGTTCGGCATTTGTGGATCATAAATTTAGTGATTTCTTTCAAAAACACTCGATCTCCCAAAGAGTCATGCAAGGCTTTCAATTTAAAACTATTCCAGCAAATTCTAGAAGGTGAACACAGCTGATTAATGGGTTGGTTCAGCTTTCTGTTAAAGCTGAAAACGTGAAGACTTTTTCCCATTGAAACTGTTAAGCACTATGACGGTTTTAATTTTGCCTTCATTTGGGCAACATTTTGTGGTTCTTGTACCCAAAAACCCTTTACTGACAAGAAATAGCAAAAGGAAAACACTAAAATATATGGAGATGTAGAGGGACAGACCAATTTTATAGCTGCTAAAATGTCTCTGAGTGGAGTTGGGAACCTGGTAGTTTTTATTAAGATGTGCAGACTTATTTGAGAGGGTCTTTTGAGTTCCGCCTGTGATTTTCTCTGCACCCGGCCTCAGAAAAGTGGATTCTACAGCTGTCGGGAGAGTGGGGAATCCTCCAAAAAGAGCAGGAAGTAGTTTAAAAACGAAATGAATGAGACATAAATTCAAGATGGAGTCACCGGAGAAGTCTTTAAGTAGCTCGGAATGGTGGTGTCGCTTTGGGATCAAGTTTGTACAAGTCTCCACGGAAAATTACTTGGGAATTTTCAATGAGTTTGAGATGGAAATGTCAAAAAGCTTAAATTCAGGTGAAGTAGGTCTGGGTTATACAAATAGTAGAAGCTGTGGAGTCAAATTTAATGTTTAAGCTTTGTATTAAAGGTGCACTGTGTGGGGGTCCGTCACCTTCTTGTTTCTATGGATATGTCATTGCTCTGTCTGGAATGTTCCACAGTATGACATTAAACAGCTCTACCTTAGATTTATTCAACTACAGGTGGTTTTATAGCTCAAAAATTCAAAAAACTAAAATTCTGACTGTGAGCAAATCTTACCTGTAATTTGGCTTGCAAGTCTCCATAGAGAATTTTAAGTCGAAGGCCATACTATGGAACATTCTAGGCACATCACCAAAGCGACAGATCCTCCATCAGGCAACTTACACAGTGCATCTTTAAGATTACTGATTACAGATTTTTATAATTCTCAATTTGTTTTGCTTACAGGTAACTTTTTGGTTGGGGTTTCCGTCACCTGCATGTTTTATGGATATTTCATTGCTCTGCAAATGCTCCACAGTGTGACATTAAACAGCTCCACCTTACATTTATTTAATTATAGGTGGTTTTATCACTCAAAAATACCTAAAAAAAAATTCTGACTGTGATATGAACCATAAAACTAAACACATCAAAATATATAGAAAGGACAAAAAGATTATTAAATGCTCAAATATTACTATTCATTAAAAAATAATTATTCTAACTTAGTTGTTCACCTTATTTGGCCAATACAATACATCATAACCCAGTCCAAACCATAGATCAACAAATGTGCAATCTGACAGATACACAGCAAACTCCACCTGATGGCTCTCACCTGCCTCCAGCTCTGTTGAAAGGTGTGCTATGTCTGCCTGGAATGTTCAACATTATGACATTAAAAAAACTTTTCCTTACATTTATTAAATTACAGGTGGTGTTATAGCTCAAAAATATCTTGAAAAACAGACATTCTGACTGTGAGTGGGGTCAACCTGTAACTGGGCTGGTTTGGTCTCCATGGAGAAAGAAACATTTCAGAAAAACTGAATAAAAGATTTTTATGATTCTCAAATTTTTGCTTATATTGCACTATTTTCTGATCTGTGTTCTCAGGTCTGTTTGTGTTTCTTCATCACAAACAGATCTGAGTTGTGTTTGGTTTCATTCACACAAACCCTGCATATTTAGGCTGAATTCTTTTCTCAAACAGAAAACACTCCACCTTGCGATGTCATGTGGGAATACAGGAAGTGCTCCACTGTGTTTTAAACTCCACACACTTTCACTAGAATCATTTAGATAATTTCAGCTCTGGAACTGCCAATCTCTATAGAAAAGTTTAAAGGAGCTGCTCACTTGAAAACCACCACTACATGACATCACAAGGTGGAAGAGAGCATTCTGAGCTTTAGAGATGTAGACCGACTAATAATAAAGATGTGTGAAAGAAACAAAACACAACTCCAGGTCTGTTTTTGAAGAGGTAACATTATTATATAACATGACTTAATGCTCAAGAGTCCATTTTGTGTAATATAGGACCTGTAAGATTTCATTGAAAATGTAACATGTGTTTAATATTGTGAGACTTTGAGAAATTACACAGGCTTCACATATTTTTTAATATTCCCAAGTAATAAAATGTTTTTCCTTTCCACTTACGACTTCCTCCTCCTTTTTGCAGCTGGACACTTCCCTTGCACTTTTCAAACTCTGTAAACTTCGGCCTAATTACCTCCTCTTTCTGCCTCTTCCAGCCTGACCCGCTCACTGCTAAGGTTAGCCGTTAGCCGCTACATGACCCCCTCACTGCTAAGGTTAGCCGCTAGCCGCTACCTGCTGTGCTAGCTTCGCTCTCCACTCGGGCGCGTTTGTTTTGATGACCTGCTCCGTCCTTCTCCTCGGAATCCTCTTTTTCTCGGCTCTCGCTCCCGCTCTCGTTCAGCTTCCTCTTGGGGAACATCTTCCTCGCTGAAAAATAAACACACAAGACAAATATGAGAAAATATCCGAGTGGAGGAATTCATAACATAAATAAAACGAAAATATATAGAAAAAAATATCAAAATTGTTGAGAAAAAAGGCACAATATGAAAAATAGATCTTCCTCAAATATTTTCCAAATTATTTTAAAAGTCCTATATAACACAAAGTTGATCTTGTGAGCTCTAAGTCATGTTATGATGTTGTTACCTCCTCAAAGACCTGGAGTTGTGTTTGGTTTCATTCACACATTTGAGCAGTGTTGGGAAGGTGACTTTTAAAATGTATTCCCCTACAGATTACAGATTACATACCCCAAAATGTAGTTTGCAATGCATTAAGTTACTTAAAGTGAGTAACGTAATCTGAATACTTTGGATTACTTGATATTGTCATGCTTTTTTAAAACTACATGAATGTAGCAACTACATCCTGAGTCTTAAGTCCTGGGTTTAATCCTAGTTTAGCCCTGGTTTTAGTCCTAGTTTAGTCTTGGTTTTAGTCCCAGTTTAGTCTTGGTTTTAGTCCCAGTTTAGTCTTGGTTTTGTCCCAGTTTAGTCCTGGTTTTAGTCCCAGTTTAGTCTTGGTTTTAGTCCCAATTTAGTCTTGGTTTTAGTCCCAGTTTAGTCTTGGTTTTAGTCCCACTTTCAGTCCTGGTTTTAGTCCTAGTTTAGTCCTGGTTTTAATCATAGTTTAGTCTTGGTTTTAGTCCCAGTTTAGTCTTGGCTTTAGTCCCAGTTTAGTCTTGGTTTAGTCCTACTTTAGTCGTGGTTTTAGTCCTAGTTTAGTCTTGGTTTTAGTCCCAGTTTAGTCTTGGTTTTAGTCCCACTTTAGTCCTGGTTTTAGTACTCGTTTAGTCTTGGTTTAGCCAAAACTGAGAAAACAGGAAAATACCGCCATGTAATCCATTTATTTCAACACAGTAACTATAATCCAATTACCACTCATTGAAACAGAAACTGTAACTGAATACAGTTACTCATAATTTGTACTCTGATTACAAAACGCCGGTACATGTAATCCGTTACTCCCCAACACTGCGTTTGAGTAACTCTTTATTTTGAGTCTGTCTATATCTCCAAAGCTCAAAACGTTCTGTTCCACCTTGTGATGCCATGAAGCGGTAATTTTCATGATAACAGCTACTTTTATCCTTTTGTTCAGTAGAGATTGGCATTTCAGGGCCTGAAAATGAAAGTGTATGGAGTTAAACACAATGGAGCACTTCCTGTATTACCATATGATATCACATCAAGGTGGAACAAGAGTGTTTTCTGTTTGAGAGAACAACGTCGCCTAAATATGCAGGGTTTGGGTGTTAAACATGTGTGAATGAAACAAAACACAACACCAGAAAATAGCAGAATATAGGCCCTTTACTTAAATGCAATATAGTCTTTTTAAGGGTCCCATTATGGCTTAAAGATTCACAAAGACTGCAATTTTTAAAGTAGCATAATTTCCTCCAGAAAACAACAAAATCTCCTGTCTTATTCTGAATATTAATCAAAAAGAGAATTAAGGAGAAAAAAGGAGAATATAAAACTTTTTACAACTAAAAAGGTCTTTCTTAATTATCCAAATGACTTTAATAAGATGCAGAGTTGTGTTTTTAAGGGGACTCACTGAGGCTCTGACACAAACACTGCTCCAAAACATTTCTTGCACAACACAATAAGAAAAGATCAACAAAGTTACACGGAAAGTTTGCAAAATATTAGAAAATAAAATTAAATGTTGACAGAAGAAAAAAAAAAAAAAAAAAAAAACGCATAATCTTCCCCCAAAAGATAAGAAATAAGAATATTAAATGAAATCGAAAGTTCTTAGTGTTCTCCATCATGGACACTCCTGCTCAGTGACAGAAAAACAACTACATTCATATAATACTCCCTACGACTGTACATCAACGCACCCTTATGGAACAGATAATACTCCCTACAACTGTACAACTCACCCTTATCGAACAGATAATACTCCCTACAACTGTACATCAACTCACCCTCATGTAACAGATAATACTCCCTACAACTGTACAACAACTAGGCCTTTTGTAACAGATAATACTCCCTACAACTGTACAACAACTCACCATTATATAATAGATAATACTCCCAACAACTGTACAACAATTCACCCTTATGTAAAAGATAATACTCCCTACAAATTCACAACAACTCACCATTAGGTAAGAGATAATACTCCCTACAACTGTACATCAACTCACTCTCTTGTAACAGATAATACTCCCTACAACTGTACAACAACTAGGCCTTTTGTAACAGATAATACTACCTATAACTGTACAACAAGTCACCATTATATAATAGATAATACTCCCCACAACTGTACAACAACTCATCCTTACGCAACAGATAATACTCCCTACAACTGTACAACTCACCCTTATGGAACAGATAATACTCCCTCCAACTGTACAGCAACTTGGCCTTTTGTAACAGATAATACTCCCTACAACTATACAACAACTCATCCTTACGTAACAGATAATACTCCCAACAACTGTACATCAACTCACCCTTATGTAACAGATAATACTCCCTACAACTGTATAACAGCTCACTCTTATATAACAGATAATACTCCCTACAACTGTGCAACAACTCACCCTTACGTAACAGATAATACTCCGTACAACTGTACAACAACTCACCATTTTGTAATAGATAATACTCCCTACAACTGTACAACAGCTCGCCCTTATGTACTTTGGTCCAGATATTAATGTTCCTTTGAACTTCATTTCAACTATAGACATATAAACTGATCTTTTTAACATAGGTCTGAATGTCATTTCTAATAGTCACGAATCAGCTCGTGTGTTTTTAATGTAGAGGTCCACAGGCAATTCTCTGTCAGTAAAAATGTGTGATTTGGGGCAGAACATAGACTTTGAAGGATTTGATTTCCTGTTTTATTTATGTTCAGCAAATCATTTTAGACCAGTGGTTCCCAAAGTGTGGTTCAGGGCCCTCAACGCCTGTCCACATAACAAGCATGAAAGAAAATAGAGTTTGAAAAGATTCTTGCATAATTTATTTGTTTAATATACCACGTTAAATCAGTATTAAGCCCATAGGCAATATTTATCACAACAAAATATAATATAAAAATGCAATTATCATAATGTTCAAAACAAACAAACTATATTAACTAATTCCTGAAATCAATTAAGAACTTCAAAAGGTAATAGCACCATCTTAGACACATAAAAACAACATAACAATCTAAACTGAATCTAGGAGTTCATTATCTGGGATATAATGAGGAGACATCGTATCACAGAGGGTCTTTTGGGGTTTTAAATTTAAGATCCGGCAACCCAAAGAGAATAGCTTAAAGGTGCACTATGTAACTTTTTGGTTGGTGGTTCATTACTATGGATATGCCATTTCTCTGCCTTCAATGTTCCACAGTATCTACAGCTCTACCTTACATCTCCACAGATCTGACCTGTAACTTGGTCTGGTTTGGTCTCCATGAAGACAGAAAGGTTTAATACCACACTGTGAAACATTCCAGACCAAGCAATAACATCTCAATGGAGAAAAACATTTGAGGTTCTCTCCACCAGAAAAGTTACACAATGCACCTTTAAATTCAAGTAAAAACAAAACACAACTAACTGAACATGTTTAAACAAAATCTAAGATAATTTCTTAGATTTCTAAGGTAATTTTCTCTACTTTGGACTTAAGTCCTGATCTGATCCTGGTTTAGACCTGGTTTAGACCTAGTTGAGACCTGGTTTAGACCTAGTTGAGACCTGGTTTAGACCTAGTTGAGACCTGGCTTAGACCTAGTTGAGACCTGGCTTAGACCTAGTTGAGACCTAGTTGAGACCTGGCTTAGACCTGGCTTAGACCTGGTTTCGACCTGGTTTCGACCTGGTTTCGACCTGGTTTCGACCTAGCTGAGACCAAGTTAAGACCAAGTTGAGACCAAGTTGAGACCTAGTTGAGACCTAGTTGAGACCTAGTTGAGACCTAGTTGAGACCTAGTTGAGACCTCGTTGAGACCTGGCTTAGACCTAGTTGAGACCTGGCTTAGACCTGGTTTAGACCTGGTTTAGACTTAGACAGTTTAAATAATTACTATTGAAAAGCCCAAAGAGTTTGTGAAAGGGTTCTTTGTTTGAAAAATCACAAATCAATGAAAGCGTTAACCCGCCACATTAAAACAACATCCACCAAATTAGACATTTAATTGTGATTTGTTTCTCGGTGACAGGTCTTTTATTGTGGCGGGGCATCTGTGGAAATGTTCAAAGGGGATTTACTGATTAAAAGAAAAGGAGGAACAAAAATCACAAGAGAGACTGAGCTACAAACCCAGTAAATGAGCAGATTAAAATAAAGCTTTAAAAATCCAGTCTCTTTGAGGAAACTACAGCTGTTTAAAACACTGGGTCATTCTGTTTCATGTTAAATATGTTTTGGGGGAGACATGATTCCCATTAGAGGAATTATTTATGAATGAGAGAAGAAAGCAGCTACACTATCACCATTTTTGAAATCTGGAACATTTTTAAATATAATCCATGCATGTCTGAGTAATTTAGAGATCTCTCTTGGGCAATAGTTTCATTTGTGGGATGCACGCTGATTGTGTTGTGACAGGGCTCTGGAAGGGGGAGTGACTTAGCTCGGAGAGCAAAGAGACGGGACTCAGAGCATCAAAAACAAATGGGAAATTTAAAGAACATGGTATTGACATGTTATAAATCTTTTTTATTAACATGGTGGTATCAGAATCAGTATTGATCTAGTTCTTAGTATTGAAATTGACTTTGAAATTTTAGTATCGTGACTTAGTTCTTAGTCCTGGCTCTAGTCCAGGCTAATAGTGTAATGTTCTGTTTTATTTAGCAAATATTTTTGATGAGTTCTTTTTCTTCTGAGGCCCAACACAAATCAAAATAAAAGAAGTGTGCTTTTTAGAAAGTCTCGAATCATCAAATGAATCAAGTAGGGCTACAGTTAAGAACTCATCTGGCTATTTTTCTATTTTTTATTGATCGCTTAGTCATTTAGAATGTGCATAAGCCTGTGAAGATGAGGTTTTAAACATTTACAGCAAAACTGAAAAGGTTTTAAAAGGTGCACTGCGTAACATTTCTAGTGGAGGGTCTGACACCTTAGCCTGATTCATCAGCCGGTTTCATTTCGTAGAAACCGTCTGACCTCGCAGTGTTAGAATTTGTTTGCTCGACGGTAGGCGGGTACTTTTTATCATTTAACCAGTCGCTGCTATTTGGTAGCTGGCATGTTAAGCTTTTCCCAAATCCCGTAGGAAGAAGGGCAATAACGTCCTTTCCCTTGATGAAATTCACCAAACATTCTCTTTGTTGCGGCTTAAATCCTCGATTTCGGGAAACGTTGACAGCGCTGAATATTTGGCTCTTCGCTGATTGGCTGGAACTTTTTTTGTGAAATGTCTATTTTGATTCCTGAACTAGCTGCTGGAGAAAAATGAAATTGAGGGGAGGCACTAGGTGGCGCCGGCCTGGCTACTGCCACAGAAATGTTATTGCTTTGTCTAGAATGTTCCGCAGTAAAGTTTAAACCTATTTATCACAATGGAGACAAGCAGGTTACAGCATGACGCTACATTACAGTTCAGATTCAGTTCATCTAATTTAGTAGAAATTGGCAATTCCCAGGCTAAATCAAACAAATGATTCTATTGAAGGGGTGTGGAGTGTAAAAGAACACTGGAGCATTTCCTGTATTACAACATGACATCGCAATGTGGAACAGAGTGTTTTCTGTTTGAGAGAAGAACACAGGGTTTGTGTGTTAAACATGTATGAATGAAACAAAACACAACTCCAGGTATGTTTGTGACGAGGAAACAACATTATAACATTTAACTGTGAGAATAACTTGACAAATCATGATCTAAAGTGAAACCATTTTAATTTGTCTGCTCCTTTCGGTAATGTTTTGCCATGAACAGAGACCAGGCTGTACTTCTGTATTCAAAGCGCGCTCTCCTCTTTCATAATCAGCTGTAATATAAAAGGCTCTGCTCCACTGCTCCTTCAGACAGCACAGAAGCAAAACAAAATCACAGTCTCAATATTATCATCTCCACTGTGCTATAACATACAAGAAACAGCAGCATGGACTCTGCTCCAGCTAATGACATGTAAAAGAGCATGTATTATGACTAAAGGGGGAGTAACATAGACTTGTCCATGTTATAATATTGTTCCCTTCTCAAAACATGCCTGAAAGAGGTTGTAGATGTCATCCATGCATGTTTGAGTAATTTTGCGATCTCTCCTGGGCCCTATTCAAGCCCTCCTTATGGTTAGCTGTGAGATTCTGTGCAATGCTCCGCCGTCACGCATCCTCCCACATGACAGTTCTCCACAAATACACAAAAACATGATTCAAAACAACACACTAGAACTTCACAAACCTGATGCGATGTGCAGTAGTTTCATTTGATTGCACTGTGACAGAGTGACTTACAACTAAGAGGGGACAGGAACATGATACTGACATGTCAAAGTCAAGCCCTGGGGCCAAATTTGGTCCACAACATAATTATATATATATCATATCAAATATCTAAGAGAGCTGGCCCTCCAGGTACAGATAGGCTATAGAGACGTTATATAAAATTTTGCTATTTTTTATATTCTGCTTGTTTTGGATTCAATGTTTAAGCAAAACTATTATTAAACAATTATTTTAATAAGAAAAGGTTTAACATTACATATCTCAAAAGAAGAGAAAACATGCAGATGCTGTGGAAATTTTTCGATAAATTTTAATTTGGCCCATGACTTAGTCCCAGTTTTTAATTTAGATTTTCTGAGAATTTTACTTTGACACCCCTGTTATAAACCTTTTTTATCATCATCGTGGTATCAGAATCGGGTTTGAGTATCTCTCTAGTTCTTAGTATTGAAATCAACTTTGAAATTTAAGTATCATTCTTCGTCCTGGTTCTTGTGCAGGCTAACGGTGCAAATGTTTTCTTTTATTTAGCAAATATTTTCTAAGTTCTTCTGAGTTCCAGCAAAAATCCAAACAAAATGACTCAAGACACATGTATCGAAATATGTAGAGAATTGTGACAAAAAAAGAATTGTCCCATCCCAGTTAAATATTAGTTCATAGGCTGAAGAGAGGTGTGCAAAAATGTTGAAATATCAATATACGGTGATACTACATTTGGTGATACAATATCGTTATCGTGGGCTCCTGTATCGATATATCATATTTTTTGTATCTTTTAGCAATTTTTTGTGACTGCTTTATTATTTTGTTGGTTATTTAGTGGAAGGAAACTTGTTTCTGCAATACACTAGACATAGTCCCTGTTTTGATGTTTATAAAATAGATGTATTGCATATTAACTTTGCACAAATAGTAGTTTAACAAAGAAATATTGTTGCTAAAAAGGATTTGGTCCATAGTGTAATAATATTGTATCGTGAGCCATATATCAAGTATCGTATCAAATCATGAGGGACTCTGTGATTCCCAGCCCTAAGCCCAGAAAACAACGCCTTAACTCAGCCTCTACTCCTTCTAATGCCATGTAAAACGACACAAAGGAGACACACTTTGTCAGTTTTCTGTCATAATAAACAGACATTATGTTTGAGTGTGAGTGAATAAAGTGGAGTGCGTCTCGTTAGTGATAAATGTTTTGTTTTTGCAGCGTGGTGAAATAATGACGACTATTTAAGGCCATTAGGCTCCTGCTAACAGCTAATCAACCACAGCAGCTCCAGGCGAGAGGCATCCATCTTCAGATCAAGTCAAGAGTTCACAAAAGAGGAAACTTTTTAGACACAAATCAAATTGATAGATTACAACCGGTGTCATCCATATTCCCAAGGGTGTCGTGCTAACTGGAAGCACCAGTCTGACTGAAGCACAAGTTGTATATAAAAGTGGACTAAGGGAGTGTGATTCACCCACAGTGTTCGGCTCCAGTCAAATTAAGCTCACAGGTTAGTAGGAGTGACTTTGGATATTAGGAAAAGGAATTTATTTACGGACAAAATGGTGGGGAAAAAAAGAAAAAAAAAAGAAAACAGGATCATGTAGAGCAGGTTAATATTGTAAACATTTTAAGACCAAAATGATGAGGCTCACTGCAGCAGTTACAAAGAGAGAGGCGACAAATTTTCAATGTAAATTCAACTGGAGTCAAAGTTGATGGAGCCACGAAGTGCACCCATACTCACTTCCTATTTGGAACGAGGAACTAGCAGGTTAGCCATGTCCATTTACATATGCAGTCTACGGTCTGAATCTTGGTTACTCAACTCTAATCTGAGTTTCGTTTTAACACAATTTGACCATAAAGAACTGATTTAGATGCAACTACAAGAGGTGAGCTCATTTGTGCTGTTAAACAAATCCCTCTCAAATGACGTGTGAAAAATCCTTCAGTCGTCCAGGTAGAATCCATCTCAAATAACATTACAGTCACATGTTACAGTTTTTCAGTTTTACAGTTTTTCAGTTAGTCACTCTTACCTTTTTGTCAAACTCCTAAACAGAACCATGAACGCTCACACTGATAACAAGCTCCTGAAAATGTGCTCTTTACATCCATTTTGTACTTCTTGAGTTTTCAAACTATCTAAAAACTTCTCAGGCTGTGTTTGCTAATGCATGCATTGTGTCACCATGGTAACTGCTGAACATTACACCACAGACATACATGCAGAATCCTCCCCAGCATAATGTCACTGCAATATCGAGCCTTCAGACAGACCAGAGCCTACAGTCAGAATCACACCCGCAGGGAACGTGGATGACATGAGCTACAAAGAATGCTCAATAGAAACATCTGTACTAGAATATGTGCAAGACAGGTCATTTTAAAGCCATACTGTGGAACATTCTAGGTGAAATAAAAAGTTTTCTGTGAAATTAAAGAATGTCAATGAGCGAGATTTGAGTACTGACCAGTTTTGCGTTTGACAATCCCGGATGGAGAGATGGAGTCTGGGGTGCAGGGAGTCCCAGAGGAGGCGGACAGGGCCGGGGTAGCAGGTGCAGTGGCAGGTGTAGAGACTGGTGTAGAGACAGGTGCAGGTGTGGCAGGGGTGGCAGGTGTCCTGGGGGTGCTGGGGGTCGGAGGAGGAGACTTGGGGGTTGGGGCTTTCAAAACTTCATCCTGAAACAAGAAAAACAATTAAATGTACCAACATGTCAAATGTGTCTGTCCGCATCATATTTTTTTTTTTTCTAATATTCTAAAATGAATTAAATGAAAAGTAAAGTTCTGTTGCAGAGTTATTAAAAGTAAGTAAACATTTTGTCCTCCAAGTTGATGGGTTTGATTTAATGAATGTGTGTGGTCTGGGCCGTGTGGTCTGGGCCGTGTGGTCTGGGCCGTGTGGTCTGGTCCCCTGGTCTGGTCCCCTGGTCTGGTCCCCTGGTCTGGTCCCCTGGTCTGGTCCCCTGGTCTGGTCCTAGTTCAGTCCTGGCCTGGTCTCTGGTCTAGTCCACGGTGTTCAGTCTTGGTTTAGTCTGCAGTTCAGTCCTTGGTCTGGTCCACGGTCTGGTCCACGGTCTGGTCCACGGTCTGGTCCACGGTCTGGTCCACGGTCTGGTCCACGGTCTGGTCCACGGTCTGGTCCACGGTCTGGTCCTAGTTGAGTTTTAGTTTAGTCCCTGGTCTTCAGTGGGACATATTACGGAAAGGCTGTGCTAAATGCATTTTAAAATGCTTGATAAAATACATATTGTATATAAAATATGAATTCTGCCAATTCTAATATCCTTTATTACACAAAATTGACTCTTGTGAGCTTTAGTGTTGTTATATCATTGTTACCTCATCAAAAACATTGTGAGTTGTGTTTTGTTTCATTCACACATGCTCTGTTCCACCTTGTGATGTCATGAAGTGGTCATTTTCAGCTCCTTCTACCTATGGTTCAGTAGAAATTGGCAAGTCCAGGGCTGAAATTATCCAAATGATTCTATTATAGCTGTGTGGAGTTTAAAAACAAAGCACTTCCTGTATTACCACATGACATCACAAGGTGGAAAAGAGGGTTTTGAGAGAAGAATATGCAGAATTTGTGTATTAAACATGTGTGAATGAAGCAAAACACAACATCACAACTGTTTTTGATCGGAAATAGCATTATAACAGAGCTCAGAAAATGGCATAATATAATTTAGTATTACAAACATTTACTCAACAACTAATAAAAACACAAATATGACCAGCTCCACAAAATCACACATATAAAAACACTGCTTCTTCCTCCTTCGGGATTTCATTTAATTACATTTATATTTCATTTCACAACTCATCAGTTATCAATCCACCACATCTGAAATAGAGGGTTTATGGCTGAATGAATTTACAACAGAAAAGCTCTTTTACTGATACATGTATGTGGTAATAGTAGTTATGTAACACTGGTCATAAGCCACGTCTCATTAACCTCATCGATTCATTTCTCACCAGTGTGGTTTAAACAATGTCATTTTAATTAATGACACTATCGCCACGGAAACGCCTCTCTGCTGTGGGAACTATGGGGAGTGAGCATCGTGAATTTGGTTGCGTTTTGAGCCTACAGAAAAAAAATTATTACAATTCTAATCACGCCACAAATGAGACTAGAGTAATTAAGAGGCGAAGAGTCAAAAAGAAGGAAATCTCAGCGGTCAAGTTATGATAGAGGTTTGATATAAAGGTGCATTTTGTAACTTCTGGTGGAGGGTTTGTCGTCTGCTTGTTTCTATGGAGATGTCATTGCGCTCTCTGGAATGTTCCACAGTATGACATTAAACAGCTCTACCTTACATTTGTTCAACTACAGGTGGTTTTGCAGCTTCAAAATACCTTGAAAAACAGGTATTCTGACTGTGAGTGGGGTTGCCTCACCACGAGGGATGCAACAATAACCAAAATTTCGTGATATCGTATTGTCAAAGTTCTCACTATAATATCGTGGACCATCACAGTATATCGAATTACAAGTCTCTTTGATTAAATTAAGAGTTATGGTGCAGCAATAGGTAAAAAAGACAGAGGGAACTACATATACCATGATCCTTTGCTCCATTTCAGTGTAGACTATAAGAAGAAATAACAGTTCACTTTTAAGTTTTAGTTCTTAGGATTAAGTTTTGTTAAGACATTTTAAGAGGAAAAAGAAACATTAACAGTTTTGTTTTGTTAGCCTCCACAAAATATCACAATAAATATCGTACTGTGAGATGTATATAGTGAAAATATTGTACTGCGAGATTTAGATATTGTTACATCCCTAATCGTGAGCCTCCCCACCATATCATGAGCAATAAATATCGTACAGTGAGGTTCATACCGTGACGATATCGTATCGTGAGACTTGGATATCGTTACACCCCAACTCGCCACAGATCTGGCTTTAACTTGGTCAGATCATCATGATGTCATTGCAGTGTATCAATAAAGTGCAACATAATTAATGATTTATAAACAATACTAACCACTACTCTGTATGTGTTTTAGTTTAGTCACTTGAAATTGTTGTTTAAAGATGAATTGTGTAACTTCTTTCTTCTTTCTCTTTCTTTCCTGCCAAATGCTTTTCCCCATGGAGATGTATTTGTCTGAAATGTTTCACACTATGGCTTTAAAACTTTCTGTCATCATGGAGACCAAACCAGCCGAAGTTAGAAGTCAAATCTGTGGAGAGTCAACCTTGCTCACAGTCAGAATGCCTGTTTTTCTAGTCATTTTAGAGCTATAAAACCATCTGTAATTGAATAAATGTAAAGGAATAGAGCTGTTTAATGTCACACTGTGGAACATTCCAGACAGAGCAATGACATAGCCATAGAAACAAGCAGGTGACAAACCTGCAAACAAAAAGTTACAGAGTACATCTTTAAATAAAGTAAGTGAGTCTTAAATATTATTGTCCTATAGAATGTTGAGATGTCATCTGATACAGCAGTAGTAGATTTATCCACCATAGACACACATGCAGTCCCCCCCCCCAGTGTGATGTCATCTGAAACCCAGTAGATTAATCAGCTGGTGTTGCATTTAACAGTAAAAAAAAAAAGCGTCTCCTCGTCAGCTTTGTCAGTTTCAGGGCTGAGAGTGGCAGCAGATTTTAATAGACAAACTGCGTGATAATCATCATTAGCACGAGAGCGATGTTTGTCACAGAGGGGCTGCCAAATAGTCCAATTTGTTCCCAGTGGAGTCAAACAAAATAATACAAAACAAAATGGAGTTTCTAAACAAATAAATCATTATATTTTAAGATCCAGTGTCGAAGAAAAGCTGGTTATAAATTAGAGATGAGCGATTTGGGGAAAGTATCTAATGAGTCATTTTTCTGATAAGACCTGAGATTTGATCAGTGGGTGTGCGCCGCCTTGAGTCTGACAATGAGACACATCATGACATGTCACGATTTGATATTAGGGATGTAACGATATCCAAATATCTCAATACTATATTTTCACGATATGCATCTTACAGTTCGACATTTATTGCAATATTTTGTAGAGGTTAACAAAATTGTAAATATGCTACTTTTCTCTCGTTATAATCAACATAATTAAGATTTCAAATGATTAGTTATTAGTTATTTCATCATGTAGACTGGACTGAAACAAAGAATCATGGTATATGCAGTTCTGTTTTTTTAGCTGTTGCTGTACAGTCACAAGGCATTTAAGCAAAGAAACTTGTAATTCGATATATTACTCAGACTTGACGATATATCACGATATTTTGGTTATTGTTACATCCCTTTTGGATATATCACGATACTAAAACGAAGGATCATATATTGAGATTTATCAATACATACACAAAATATAAATATAAAAATGTATTGTTTTTAAAAATTGATTCAGACATATTTAGAATCGATTAAAGAATTGTGCAATAAAGTATCACGATATATCACTGAAATATTTTTTATTACTACTTGCTTTTTCTTTTTTTTTTTTTTTTACTTACAGGTATATTTAAATATGAGTTATATGATGGTTGTTTCTATGGATATATAATTGCTCTGCTTAGAATGACATTAAACAACTCTACCTTACATTTATTCAGTTACTGGTGGTTTTATAGCTCAAAAACACCAAGAAAAACAGACATTCTGACTATGAGCGGGGTCACCTCTCTACAGATCTAACCTGTAACTTGGTCTGGTTTGGTCTCCATTAGAGATGGGCATGATTAATCGATTAATCGATAATTGATCATTAAGAATTTCATCGATTACGTTCATTTTAATCGACAAACCAAATGTAGGTTGCTGTGCGTAGCGTGACCAAACAGGTCCGTACATGTGTCTCAGTCAGTCAGTCTGCAACGTGCCGAAGCACAAATGCGTATTTAACAATGACTTATACAAGAAATTCCACGTTTCCGTTGTGTTCAGGACAAGTGTGAGTCCATGTGCACAGTGTACAAAGCAGCACATATGTTTCGGTGTCCAGTGGGAAAAAGCTTTGCCAGGTGAGAGTCGCACAATGTCGATGACGAGTCCCCACCTCCCTCCCCCCGTACAGTGTCCTGGTTTTGACAAACGCAAATATGGTCACACTAACCTGTATTCCACTGAGTCATGTCTTTTTATCCAACAGAAATCGACCACATCAGCGACACAAGAGCTGTAGTTTTATCTTCGCTGAGTTTATGCAAATTAGCGATGCGGTTTTAAGTTTTGTTTCTGTGAGAGTTGCACAAAACTGAATTAAACACATTATAATGTCAAACGGATTGATGTGGCTCTAGAGTGGTTACGGTTTATATGACGTAAAGTTGAATTTATTTATGCAGATTAGTAGTGCAGATAGTAATAATAATGATGATCATTTTAATATAAAAATGTTAATGATTAATCGATAATCGATCGTTAATTCTTCCGACGATCGATTAAGAAAATTTCATCGAATGCCCATCCCTAGTTTCCATGAAGATAGAAAGGTTTAATGCCATACTGTGAAACATTCCAGACAAAGCAATAACATCTCCATGGAGAAAAGCATGTGACAGACCCTCCACCAGAAATGTTACACAATGAACCTTTAAATATATAATCTATAAGGGTATATATAAGGGTCCTTTCTATGACATCACATAGCCAATTATAACTATATATAAAAAAATAAAAATAAAAGTTTGCATTTTAAACACATCCTGAAGCACTGACAAAAAGACTGTATTCTGAAATAACATAATAATAATAAATAATAAATAAATAAATAATAATATAAGAATCACATTTCAGAAAATTTTAGTACAGATCTAAAGTACAGGGTGAGCAGTTCTCGCAATCAGTTCTAATTACAATTTTGATTTGATCGTGATCAAAAGGGCTCATATTACATTATTTTCTTATCTATGTTCCAATGTAGTTTCCTCATTACAAACAGACCTGGAGTTGTGTTTTCTTCCATTCACACACGTTTAAAACCCTGCAGATTTGGGCTGCGTTCTTCTCTCAAACAGAAAGCACTGTTCCACCTTGTGATTTCATGTGTTAATACAGGAAGTGCTCCACTGTGTTTTTAACTTCAGACACATTCACTAGGATTATTGATGAGTTCTGCCCTGGAATTGCCAATATCTACTGAACAAAAAGTAAATGTAAAAGTATTAACTTGAAAACTCACACTTCATGACATCATAAAGTGGATTTGAGCATTTTGAGCTTTGGAGATGTAGACAATATAGAATTCCTCAAACATATGTAAATGAAACAAAAAACGAACTGTGTTTTTAAGGAGGTAACAGCAGAATAACATGGCTTAAAGCGCACAGAAGTAAATTTTTTCGTAATATAGGATCTCTTACCCTTGCGACCACACACTTTTCTATTTACAGTTTATAGGCCTAGTCTGCTCGTATGCTGCTTGAAAATTGCATAAGCTACACATTCCCATCTTCACTAGAATCATTTGGAGAATTTCAGCCCTGGAATTGCCAATCCCTACTGAACTAAAGGTAAAACATAGCTGTTAACTGTTAACTACCACTTCGTGCCATCACAGGGTTAAACAGAACATTTTGAGGTTTGGAGATGTAGACAGACATCTCCGTCATCAGACATCATCTCATAAAGGGTTACTCAAAAATGTGTGAATGAAACAAAACACAACTCCAGGACTAATATCATAACATACTCCATACAAATGTACATCAACTCACCTTTGTGCAACAGATAAGCCTATGTTTCTGTTTCTGTAAATCATCTTTGCACAGTTTCCTTACCATTTCTTGTACATAACTGTCATATGCTGTATTTATTTTTCACTTATTGTACATACATTTATATAATTTGTCTTATCTGACATCAGTTTCTTGCTATTTGTTATTGCTACTTATTTAGAAGTTCAGTACCATTTTTATATTTTTCTCTTTGTAATTATAATTTATTGTGAAGTGTGAGCTACTGTGTCCAAGTCCTTTCCCTTGTGGAGCAATAAAGTCTGTGTAAGTCTAAGGTCTGTTTTTAATTAGGCAACAACATTATAAACAGAACTTAAAGCTCACAAGAGTCCATTTTGTGTAATATAGGACCTTTAATCATCGGTTTACCTAATGAGCAATATACTAGTAGATCAGGAGTCTAACCCACAACCTCCTGACCGAGATAGTGAGAGGATGAGACAGGCTAACCACTCTGCCACAGTAACACATGGGTTGCCAGACAAAAACAACAGATTTCTCACATTCAAAGCCCGGTTCTGGATCGCCCGGTGGCCGCAGGTGGTTTTTGTCTCATCCAAAGTCGATAATCACCTCTTTTCATTAGAACTTTATTGACAAACCCATTGAAACGCAGTGAATCAGGCCACATTACTGTTGCATTGTGGGAAGACCTGTGGGTAAACAATAGACCCTGATACGCTCTGGGGTTTTGAACAGAGCGGGTTTCAGCAGGCCTGCAGTAGATTAAAAAAGGTTTTGGGGGCTCTGGGGTCTGGAGGGATTGAAAGAGAGATACAGATCATTCAAGGACCAGAAATGAGACAGCAGGATTGTCGATTTGATGAAAACTCGTCCAATTTGAAGATACAATGTTGTTTCCTCATCAAAAACAGACCTGGAGATGTGTTTCGTTTCATTCACACGTTTAAAACACAAACCCTGCATATAGGTGTCTGCGCGGGATAGAATTTTCAGTCCCGCTCCTGCCTGCAAAGAATTTTAATTTTCAGTCCTGCTTCAGCCCGCAAATCCCGCAAGATGGAGACGTTTGCTTTTTTAAGCTCTATCAAACACGGAAAAGGGGAAAGGAATTGTACATTAGACCACGTCCTTAAGTTTAGGCTGCTTAAAATGTTTTTATTGATGCCAAATAAAATATCCTGCACAAACGGTGTATGATAGGCATTTATTAATCATTTGTATATTTTAATTTACACTCGTATTTAGTTTGCGGGACTGCAGTTTATCATCCCACCCTCCTGCTCTTGCACTGTGTAGTCTCGCTCCTGCCCGCACCTGCAGTGAGCTTTCAAAATGTGTACAAAACAAAACAAAACAGAAACTGGTCCAATTTAAACTGATTATTTTAAAAAGCATGGAATAAAAATAGAACCTCAAAGTACCCAATAACAGCTTTGGAGATCGCACCGCACACTCAGATACCTGCTGTATGCAAGGAACAGCACAGTCTGATTTTCATTAGGCACAGTGTGTGAATGACTCAGTGTTTATATTGCTATGAAGAGGAAACTAAAGTCAATTTGTTCTTCTGCAAGATCACGCTTCAGTGCTATTGGTAGTTGCTGGTAGCCTGATTCATCAGCCGGTTCTGCTTCGTTTCACTTTATAGAAACTGTCTGACCTCGCGGCCTTAGATTTCGTTTGCTCGACGGTAGGCGGGTACTTTTTATCAATTAACCAATCACTGATATTTGGTAGTCACGTGTGTAATGCGCCGCTGACGGGGCTAACTGGTATATTAAGCTTTTCCCAAATCCCGTAGGAAGAAGGGCAGTAAAGTCTTTCCCCTTGATGAAATTCACCAAACATTCTCTTTGTTCTGGCTTTAAATCGTTGACAACACTGAATATATCACTTTTCGCTGATTGGCTGATGCCCGAACTCACACTTCTGGGGTTTTTGCGAACCGTCTAGTGCAGGGGTGCTCACACTTTTTCAGCGTGCGAGCTACTTACAAAATGACCAAGTCATAAAGATCTACCTAATACAAAGCCAAGCAAACTGCACTGAAACACTCTGTGCCCCTTTTTTGGACCCTCACCCACAGTTTGAGAACCCCTTCTTTAAGAGAACTTCCTCTGGCACTTTACACAAAACTGTCGAAAAAGTGAAGGTCGTAGGTAAGATTTTTAAGCCTGTTTTTTAAAGTTCCAAACTGGAGTTACATCTTTTCTGGTTTTGCAGTGATATTTATCAGCCTCTGCACATTTACCAAACCAAACGCACATCGTGACAAACACAGATGCATTTGTGCACTTTTGTTAGACAAACTTCAGCCAAATGTGGCAGTAGGTCTGTTCTGTAGATCTGCTCTATGCTGTAGACCTGCTTTGTGCCAACACTGGAACACAAATTTAGACTCGTTTTTACTTCACGTTTGGTCTTGCTCTTCTAATCAGCGCACACTGTGGGAGGGGCTTGTGTTCGCTGTGCGCAGGAAGGAGCGAGAGCGTGAAAAGGCAAGGGGCGGCGTGCTGACGTGAGGCAGATGGACAGGTAGGATGTTTAGGAAGTTGAACCTGCCCTGTGATGCACGCTGGTACACGAGGGCACACGCTGTTGCAGACGAGCCGTGCATAGGGAGCGTGTGTGTTTGTGATGTGCCATAGAGTCTCCGCAGGTTTCAAATGAGCGCACAGGCTGCACTGAGACGCCCCACACGCTCCTGTACCCCGCTACAAGTTTATTACCAACAGCAGCGGCCGTAATGAAATATGATCGCACTTGTTGAGTGTCAGACCTTGAGTGAGAGACAAAGACCGAGTCCAAACGCGAGTCCGAGACGAGACACGGCGATCTACCCACACGACCTTGGTGATCGACTGGTAGATCGCGATCGACGTATTGAGCACCCCTGGTCTAGTGTATTCTGATTCCTGACCTAGTTGCTGGAGAGAAATGAAATTGAGCGGAGGGACTAGGTGGTGTCAGCCTGGCTAAGCCGCTGGTGCCCAGAGTCAGGACTATACAAATGAGATGTGGTCATGAGTCCATATAATTTTTGGGTTGGATTTTCTGAAATAACTGACAAAAATTAGGTAACTTTTTCATGACTTTTTTTCATGATCTGTAAATTCAGTCATGGTTTCTGCACCTGGAACACGCACAGATCTGTCTACGTACAAAACTGGAGCATAAACACACCTTAAACCACAGCCTTCCCGTCTCTCCTCTCACCTTCTCAGCCTTCTTCTCCTCCTCTTTCTCTCTATTCTTCTCTCCGCTCTTCTCCTTCTTCTCTCTCTCTTTGACAGCAGTGGTCTGGTTTTCCGGGGCCTCGTCTTCGTCACTGTCCAGAATCTGACGGCTCCGTTTGGGAGGTTTTTTCACCGGGGAATCTGCCTCATGAGCCCCGTTGTGCACCTTCAGGGGACTCTTCACCGGCCTGAGACACAACACATAAATACGACATTATTGCCCTCATTCAGACAGAAGAAAAGGACAGCTGTAGAGATGCAAAATGAATCGCAATCAAATCAAAATCACTATTTGAATAGAAGCAATTAGCAAATGACAAAGGCAGTTTTTGAAGTACTATAATTTCCTCCACAAACATCAAAATCTCCTGTCTCATTCTGCATACAAACTTCTAACCCTGTAGTTTAGATCTGTCCAAAAAAAACATGTTCTGAAATGTGATTCTTGTGTCAGTTTGTCACTTCAGATTTCACTGTTTTTGTTAATACTTCTGGACGTGTTTAAAATGTGAACTTTGAACAGAATCTATTATTAAAACAGAAATAACAGCAAATATAATCACAATTGTAAAGCTTGTTAAAGGTGCATTGCTTCTGTATCTCCATGGAGATGTTATTGCTTTGCCTGGAATGTTCCATGGTATGACATTCTAGCATTTGTTCATTACTTGTGTTTCTTTTGCACAAAATTACAATAATTCTCTCTGTAAATAGGGTTGCCTCTCCACAGATTTGACCTATAACATAGCCTTCTACATTCTAGGCAATGCAATAACATCTCCATGGAGGCAAGCAGGTGATGGATCCTCCACTAGAAAAGTCACACAGTGCACCTTTAAAGAAAGTACTACGATTTAAATTTGAAAATCACATTCTATTGACTAAAGAGTAGACTCATTATGGCTTATAAATACTGAAATTCCAAAATTCATTGTCTGTATACGACCATGAACCACTATGGGACCAGAAAATTTGCACAATGCACTTCAAAAAAAATTGATATTTTTCCCAAACCATTCAATCATCCCGAAACAAACATATTCATATTAAATACGTTATTATATTATTTAGACAGAATAAAGGACAGCTGCATAGTAATAACTACAATGAGTGATTCTTTTAGTCAGACAGGTGAGTTTGTGTACCTGCTTTACATGTTTCACTTCCTATAGCGTATTGTGATGGTGTAGTGACGTGTTGTAGGCAGATTTACTTGGTTTTGCCAGTAGGGGGCATAGGTTTCCCCAACAAACGCGTAAAGCAGGTAAACAAACTCTCCTGACTGACAAAAAGAATCTCATTTTTAGTTATAAGTGAAGACAGAATTAACCTTTACCAAAGACTGTACAACAACAACTACTACTACAACAACTGTGGCTGGAGCTGCTCAGTTATGATCAAATTATAATCACAATTATTTGACTCATTATTTCAATTACAGTTATATCAAACATTTACTTCTTACTGTGAAAATGTACCTGTAGAGAAAGTACAAAGCTATTAGTCACATCTGAGACACAACAAGACCCAAATAACATCTCCATGGAGACAAGCAGGTAGCGGAGTCTCCACCTGAAAGGTTGCATAGTGCACCTTTATCCATCTTGTAGAAGTGTTAGAAAGGATAACAAAGAGAGTGCTTGGACTAAAAAAAAAAAAAAAAAACATAAATCCACACTTACTTTTTCACAGGTTCATCTCCAGATTTCTTTTCTTTAGTTTTGGGCTGAAAAAAGGACCTGAAAAAAGACATCACAGACAAGTAGAATTGAATAAATAAAATAACTAAATAAAGTGAGAATTTTAAAAGAAAAAATACCACATATTTCAGTTTTAAATTTAAAAATGTCAATGTTAAATGTTGCATTTATTTGTCAATTTTTGTCACATTGATTTGATTTTATCAAAGGGTGACAAGATTTAGAAAATTCTAAACTGGGACAAACGTGGGTTGGTAAAAATTAAATTGTGAAAAGAGCGTGTGAGATTGTGCATTCTCGTGTCATAATCTGAGGGACTTTTATCTCTGCATTTTTGCTTTATGATCATTTGCAAACAGATTAAAAACAGATAAATTTATGCTCCTCTTTACTGCTGGCAGGGGATCAGATTAGTTAAAAATTGTGATAGTCCTGTTTTAGGCCTGATTTAGGCCTGATGTAGTCCTGGTTTAGACCTGGTTTAGATAAAATTGGTCAAAAATAAGAACACCTGGGACATTTCTTGTATAAAACTGGGACAAATCACTGTTTTTGGATAAATCTGCAAGGACAGGGGACACTGGGCTCAAAACTCGGACTGCTCCAGGTAAATAGGGACGTCTGGTCACCCTGTTTCATCATTCAGAAAGTGTGAATTGAAAAAGTTGGTCACATGTTTTAAATCCTGCTTTCAATATTCAGTTTGTATAAATAATTCATTCAATCCTTGAAATTCAGTTTTCACTTTTGGCAATTCAATTTCAATTATATGATATTATATTTTCAATTCCTAGAGACACTGATATCAGTCCATAGATTGAGTAGATTTTCACTGCAGCATGTGGCAACTTAATACATATTACTTTGCATTATCTTCTTTTGAATCATGTTTAGATTATAATTTTAAAGGGACAGATTTGGGAATAGAAACGCTAATTAAACATACAATATACAAGAGGTAGATTAGACCTTTGGAGAAGTTAATTAAGCTGCTCCAAAACAGGAAACAACATAAACAAAAGGGCTGGATACCGTTAAGAAGTTGCCAATACGATACATACCTCGATAAATAGGCCACAATACGATACATATCTCAATACAGTGCACTTTCAATTCAATCTGATATATTGATATGATATTTGAAAATTATATATTTTTAAATCGATTTGATACAGTTAAAAAAAATATAAAAGCTAAATCATAGCTGTGATACTAAAAGTCTTTTTTAAACCACTTCTTGTGCAAAGTGAATATGAAACACATTTTAATCATCAAAAAAAATTGGGTGTATAAAGGAGCATAAACAAGTTTCTTCACTCTAAACAAGCAACAAAACCGTAGCACTGTAACAAAAAACATTTCAGATAATATACCAAAAAATACAGCAGCCCAGGATATTAATACTGTATCACCACATAAAACGATACGATATATCGATATTTATATATTTTTGCACACCTCTACTAAACAGTACATGACAGTGACTCTAAATAAGAAATATTTATCTGTTTTTATAATGTTTATCTTGAAATCAATGGAAATTGTTTATTCACACGTGGTTACACCAAAACATGCATGCAACCTACTATAAATGATTCTGAAAACATTTAATCCAATCAAAAATTACAAACAGGCAATTACGGTAATTTGAAGATGTTAAAGACCATTCTGGACAATTTTATAAGTCGGTATTGGACCTAGAATTCACAGAATTCACGTATATACATTAAACATATCCTCACTTCTTATCTGAATAGCCACTGTGTTCCTAGTTCAATAATGGATACATCAATGTGGTTTATAGAAAATATATGACCACGTAGCGCACCAAAAAGCTTTGACATGTCAGGGAGAGCTGTACTCACGCAATACTCCGCTGCATGGTGTCAGAAATCTCCTTAAATTTCTGTAAACTCAAATAAAATAGCACAAATAGAGCCCAAACAGAGCACAGGATCCACAGAGGCAGCAACAGCGCTGAGAAGATTCGGCGCCAAAATCTATTTACACCAAAGACTGTGAAAGATGATACGATGATTCACTCGGTGCTGCTGAGAAATTCACTTTTTTCTTCCGATTTACGAGGAAATGATTAACCAAAACATGTTAAATTGATTTTTGTGAAGAGCCTGTTTATTTCTCTAGCTGTTACGTAAGTGTTAAAATGCTTAAAAATTAAATATGTGAGTTAAAATTGTTTCGAAATACGTTTATTAGTGTTATATTCGTGTAATAGTCGTCTAACATCAACACTTGTAAACTTTAGCTAGCAAAAGTTGTAAAGTACGTCTTGGAGAGATAAAAGATGACCGTTTATACAAAGCACAATGACATTTATTAGAAAAAGGAGGGAATAAATATGACATATACTGAAATACAACCGGAGTGAGACATCTTCATCTATACTGTTTCGCGCCAGGACTCTGAACTCGTGCAGTGTCGCCCCCTGCGCTTCCGGTCAGGTTACTGCAGCTCTCCAATAAATAAAAAGGAAAAGTATAAATTGTCTTAAAATATAAAAAATGCGTGTTACGTGAACTTTAAAGGCATTTTTGATTTGCAGACTTTTGCTACTTAATAAGAATAAAAAATAAGTAAATATTGCATTAGAATTAGATTATAGACTACTAAAATATGAGCAAAAATATCAATATGTTGTATCACTTAATTTGATGCAGTATCAGTATCGTGGGCTGCTGTATCGATATATAAGAGTATTTTTTGGTATATGTTACTAAATTGTTATACTACAGTTTTGTTGCTTGTTTGAAGGAAGGAAACTTGTTTATGCAACACATTTGACATTCTCACTGTTTTGATGATTAAAATGTTTGTATTTCATATTCACTTTCATAAGAAGTGGTTTAACAAAGACTTGCAATGATTTAGCCTTTATTTTTTCTTGAACTGCATCGAATCGACTTGAAATATATCATATTGAGTCGAAAGCTCACTGTATTGAGATATGTATTGGGGCCTATGTATCAAGGTGTCATATTTTAACTCCTTAATGATTCCTCTGATTCCCCAGCCCAAGTAAAATATAAGAATAATACATGATACTTCCATGGATACTAGGCCAATTTGTATTTCTTTCTGTTTTAAGAAACGTAAATGAATGTATTGATTTACATCCGACATTTTGAGGACTTTTTGCATTTCATAGGATATAATATTTTGTCTTTTGTCTCTATTTTATCTCCATCTTTATCCAGTCCTTTAAAGGTTCTGTACCTGATTTTTGTCCAATTATTTGAGCAAAATGTGTCTTGCCCCAGTACAGATATATTGTATAAGCAGCTTTTGAGCTCAAAATAAGTCCACTGTGTGCTGTCTGCATCCATCTAATCCAGAAGTGCACGTTGACATGCTAGTTGTTGTTAGCTTATCCTGACTCCAAAACTCCGCTCTGGTCTCTGAAAGTTGTGAAAACTGCTTGTAACTTCTAAATTATTTATCTTATATATTAATGACTTATGCAAAGTGTCTTCATTGTTTAAAGCAGTATTATTCTTAGATGACACAAAAGTATTTTGTTATGCAGACAGTATACAACAATTATTATCTGACATAACATCTGAAATGATACAGCTAAAAATATAAATAAATTTGAATAAATTAAAATAATGTCATTTGGGAATTATGAGGAAGAAAAAGTACAGTTACAGATACAAGGCATAAGTATAGGGCAGGTCAAGGAGAATACATTTTTAGGGGTCATAACTGATTGTTTTTATCAATCAGCTGTAATGCCCATATCCAATACATAAAAAAGTATTGCCGTATGAAACAAAGCAAAGCATGTTTTGGATCAAAGAGCACTACATATTGTGCAAAAATTTGGGGCAACAACTATAAAACCATAATAGAACCACTGATGAAACTTCAAAAAAGATTTCATGACCACACTAATCCAATGTTTATTCATGCCAAATTACTTAAACTGCACGATTTGATTCTGTACCAAACTGCACAAGTAATGTATAAAGCTAAAAAAGCCACTTACCAAAAAATATCCAACTACTTTCTTGTGAAAAGGAAAGGCAACTATAATTTTAGAGGCTTTTTAAACTTTAAAGTGCCTCATGCTCAAATGACAAGGAAGCGTTTTTGTATCTCTGTGGTGTCAAATTATGGAACATGAAAACAGAACTAAAATTTGTGTCCAAATATACATGTATACAAAAGTTTAAAAAGTGATTATTTCAAAATACTGTACTGAAGAAATTAATGCTAGTGTATGTATGTGTGTATGTATGCATGTATGTATGCATGTATGCATGCATGCATGTATGCATGCATGCATGTATGCATGCATGTATGTATGCATGTATGCGTGTATGCGTGTATGTATGTGTGTGTGTGTATGTGTGTGTGTATGTATGTGTGTGTGTATGTGTGTGTGTATGTGTGTGTGTATGTATGCGTGTGTGTATGTATGCGTGTGTGTATGTATGCGTGTGTGTATGTATGCGTGTGTGTATGCGTGTGTGTATGCGTGTGTGTATGTATGCGTGTATGTGTATGTATGCGTGTATGTGTATGTATGTGTGTATGTGTGTATGTATGTGTGTGTATGTATGTATGTGTGTATGTGTGTATGTATGTATGTATGTATGTATGCATGCATGCATGAGTGTATGTATGGCAACAGGAGGCGTGGTCAGTCTGAGTGACCCGTCCATCAGGCTGACCTACAGGAAGTAACAACAGCTGATATACGACACGTCACCACCAACACCGTGGACAGTTTTAAAGATGCAGCAGCAGTAGCTGAAACATGTCAACAAGGTAAATACACTTCACTTTATTGTCTTTAAATAAGAACTCAAGAAGTTAAAGTACATAAGACGACAAAATGAACATCTTTGGTTTAGTGCGTATAAACTCATCACGGTGAATAATTTGGATGCTCAGAATACATGAGGTAAGTGAGGAAGAACTTTGGACCACTGTAAACTTTTAAAAATTAACTTCTGTATTTCACATTTTTAGTACAGTAAAAATCAGGCCTTTAAGCAGGTTTATTTTACAACTATCTTATATACTATTTACTTCACAAATGCAGTTACACCTTTATAGTTTTATCATATGTTCTGTTCATCTGTGCTGGTGTCTTGTTTCCGGTGGACAGCCCCCTCTCCACAGATCCGATCCGTGAGCTGAGGAGTCCAGGTGAGGCGAGCCGTGGTCCATCTGCCCCTCAGCTGGATCTGCCCCGGAGCGGGTGCAGCGGGAGAGGGGGAGTGGAGGGGGGAGGGGCAGGAAGGGAGGGGTGAGAATGGGTTTAGGCAGGTAACAGGAGAGGAGGAGAGAGGAAGGGAGAGAGTGGACAGCTGCAGAGAGAAAGAGAGAGAGAAGGAGAGAGTAGGAATAAGAGAAAGGCAGGAAAGAGATAGAGGAGGAAGAAAGGAGGAGAAGAGAAAATGAAGGTGGGATGCAAAAAATGAGAGAAAGACATGAGTTCCATCTTGTCATGTTATGCCTAAGTGAGTGTGACATCACCCACAGCTTTCAGCTCCAGTCAAATGAAGCTCACTGAGGCTGGCAGGAATTTAGGAACTGATTTACAGACAAAATAGTGAAATGAAAACAACAGGATCATGTAGAGCGGGTTAATAAGAGCATTTTAAGACCAAAATGATGAGCCTCACAGCAGCAGTTACAGACAGTTTCAATGCAAAGTCAACAATTAGAGCCAGAGTCGATGGAGTCAGAAGCGCCCCCCATGCTCACTTCCTATTTGGAATGCAGTTTCCATTTGTATATACAGTCTATGGTTATTATTACTTAAATGCGCACTAAGACTATTCTGATGGAAGGTTTGTGCAACATTCCAAGAACAGCAAAAGTATCTCACAGGAAAAAAGCAGAAAAGTTACATATTTGTGAAGTTACATATTAATGTACATATTTTTCATCCGTTCTCTGAATCTTATCCACCCTTTAGTGACTCTGTGTTAAAGGTCCTATATTACCCAGAAGAAAATCTGAGAGTCCCTGCTTAGACTGCTGCCCCTGCGACCCGGCCCTGGATAAGCGGAAGAAAATGGATGGATGGATATTACACAAAATGGACTCTTGAGAGCTTTAAATCATGTTATAATGTTGTTTCCTCATGAAAAACAGACCTGGAGTTGTGTTTTGTTTCATTCACACACGTTTGAATAACACTTTATTATTAGTCTGTCTACATCTCCAAAGCTCAGAATGCTCTGGATCCACCTTGTGATGTCATGAAGTGGTAGTTTTAAAGCTAACATCTACTTTTTTTTAGTTCAGTAGCGATTGGCATCATCCAAATGATTCTAGTGATGGTGTAGGGAGTTTAAAAACACAGTCGAGCACTTCCTGTATTACCACATGACATCACAAGGTGGAAGAGAGTATTTTCCATTTGAGAGAAGAACTCTGCCTAAGCCTACGTTTACACTGAAATGGATCCGTGTATCACTGTATCAGAAACGATTTGTGTCCAAACATGTTGCTTCTGTGTCTGCAATCCTTCCTTATCCACACAGCTTTGAGCTGATTTGTTTACATTTTAAGAAACAAATTTAAAACCGCATGGCTCATTTGCATAAACTGAGAGCTCAAAAAACAGCTTGCTTCTTGTGCACTGATGCGGTTCAGCTTCTGTTGGACTAAAGGACACGACTCAATGGAATATGAGTGTTCTTTCTGTGACAGAGGAATGTTCTGCTGATGGTGAGTCTGTTCTGTGCTTCTGTCGCGTTGGAGATGGTTCATATTAAACTTTTCAGAGATTATACGTCTGCAGGTCATACGTATAGACCGTATATATGAATGGACATATATTCTAGCCTCTTAGTGTTTTGGCAGTAAATTACTTCGCAGCACATAAATCAGCGTATCTGCGTTTTCAGGCTTCCACACGGTGCTGGATCAGATCTGTATTCAAATGAATTTGTGGGAGCTGGTGGCACCAGATCGTTCCGTCTCTGGAGCTGTTTTCAGTCGGATTAGTGTGAACGAACACTGCATCCGCAACGAAAACGGCTCGAATACATACTAGTATGGATGGGGCCTAAATCTGCAGGGTTTGTGTGTTAAACATGTGTGAATGAAACAAAACACAACTCCAGGTCTGTTTGTGATAAGAACCTTTAAACTTGTCAGGAGCTGTAAAAGTTTGATTTGATTTGAACATGTTTGCCTAAAAACTGAGACACAGTGAGGTCATGTTTTATGGAATTTTAAATGAAAATCATACATACTGTCCCTTTAAACTCTTTTCCATGTTTGTGTTTGATATATTACACTTAAAGATGCATTGTGTCTGTCACCTGCTTGTTTCTATGAATACGTCATTGCTCTGCCTGGAATGTTCCACAGTATGACATTAAATAACTCTGCCTTACATTTATTCAATTACAGGTGGTTTAATAGCTCAAAAATAGAAAAACTAGAAAAACTAAAATTCTGACTGTGAGCAGGGTTGTCTCTCCACAGATCTGAACTGTAACTTGGTCTGGTTTGGTTTCCATGTAGATAGAAAGGTTTAATGCCATACTGTGAAACATACCGAAGCAATAAGGATTTGACGGCCCCTCCACCAGAAAAGTTAAGTAATCCACCTTTAATTCTGTTCCGATGCAGCTTTTGCCTTTAGCTCAGACTGTTCAGTACAAAATTGACATAAGTGGTTTCATAACAAAACTCCACAGTCTCCGGTCTGTTTATTTATGCTTTAAGATAATTTCTCCACTGCCATGTTTGTAAGTTGACCTTGACATGAGTGAGACGGACAGGAGCTGCTCTGAGATGCCCTGAGCTAAAATAACACTCGGATCATGTACAGAGAAGTGAGCGAGTGGGAGAAGGAGAACAAAATGGAGATAGAACAGCTTATGCCATGAGTTTAAAGGTGCATTGTGTAACTTTTCTGGTGGAGGGTCAAATGCTTTTCTCCATAAAGATGTTATTGCTTTGTCTGGAATGTTTCACAGCACGTTTGGCATTAAACCTTTCTGTCTTCATTGAGACCAAACCAGACAATGAGTGTGTTTAAATGCACATCAGTATCTCGCTTGTGATCGAGTTTTTTGAGTATTCTGGTTTCGTCATGGTGCATGTAAACGCAGTATCCCGGTTTCAGTATCCCGGTTATGAGAAACCGGGATACTGTAGCATGTATACACAGTATCCCGGTTATTGCAACATAAAGTTAAGAGTGCAAACATTTTTCAGTCTTTTTACCACAGCAGTAGCCACATAAATAAAGTGACCAACATAAATAAAGTGACCATATACGAGTGAAATGACTGTAAAATAAAGAGCTGCGCTAAAACTGCACTTGTATGACCTGCCCACGTATGATCTCTGAAAAGTTAAACATGAACCATTTCCAACTCGGTACACGCACAGAACAGACTCACCATCATCAGCACATCCTCTCTCACAGAAAGTACACATATATGCCACTGAGTTGTGTCCTTTAGTCCAACAGAAGCTGAACCGCATCAGGGCACAAGGAGTGAGCTGTTTTTTTTCTTTTTTAAATCGCTTATAGTTTATGCAAATGTTTATACAATGAGTTTATGCAAATGCAAATGTGGTTTTAAGTTTTGTTTCTGTAAAATGTAAACAAATATGCACAAAGCTGAATTATATTATCAAACGGGCTGATGTGGCTCTATTGTGGTTACGGTTTATATGTTGTAAAGTTTATTTATGCAGAAGATTTTAATCAAGAATCTGTTGCAGTGTAGAACTTGTACAATAGTGTTTGGAAACGTTGGGTTTGATTTATGCAGTGGATCATAGCCCCTTACCGCTGGTTAGGAACCTCCCAAGCTTCCTATGCTAACACTACATACTACATTTGATCATGTACACAGGGATACGAGTACCCCAGTTTTAGTACGTAGTAGCAACTGAGCCCTGATGAAGACCAGTTTGGTTGAAACATGTTGTCTTTGGCCATCTAAATAAAGGCCTTTTAACTATCTTTTTCCTTGTGCGATTTTTAATTCTTTAGAGCGCCTGGAGTCCGTTGTGTTTTAGTTATTATCCTTTTTCCAAGAGCACCCTCTACCTGCTCTCACTGATGGGAAAACCTGCAGCAAACAGCCACATTCTGTTTTTTCTGAATACATAGTATCCTGAATCCTGCCATAATAGTGATATGGCAAATAACCAAGATCCTGATGTGCATGTATACACAGTCAATTATGTTAAAATCCCTTTAATTTAAAGGTGCATTGTGTAACTTTTCTGGAGGGTCCATCACCTTCTCTTTTCTCCACCGAAATGTGATTGCTTTGTCTGGAATGTTTCACAGTATGGCATTAAACCTTTCTATTTTCATGGAGACCAAACCAAATGAAGTTACAGGTCAGATCTGTGAAGAGGCGACCCCACACACAGTCAGAATGTCTGTTTTTCTAGGTATCTTTGAGCTGTAAAACCACCTGGAATTGAATAAATGTAAAGCAGAGCTGTTTAAAGTCATACTGTGGAACATTCCAGGCAGAGCAATGACATTTCCATAGAAACAAGCAGGTGACAGACCCTCAATCAAAAGTTACACAGTACACCGTTAAAGGTACAGTATGTAACTTTCTGGGGGTGGAAGTTTTATTATGTCAGGCTGTAGAATGTTACAGCCAAAGGATCAACATTTCCATGGAAACTAAGCATGATGAGGCCCTCCTCCAGGACCAATAAGAGTCAGGTTTGTGGAGATGCAAGCCCGCTCACAGAAAGGACATGTTTTTCTATATTTTTCAAAGACTTTTTAGTTACCTACTGGGGCTTTAACTTTTATTATTGTGTACATCAGCAATAATAAAGCGAAAAAAATGCAAAAACTCACACTTCTGCAAGAAAGATGATTAAAAATTTAATTAGAGCAAATAAGTCTATAAAGAGACATTTCTCCAATTTTCTGGGGCATTTAACAGATCTTACCTGAGTCCAGAACTGACCCCCAGAGAACAGAGTCTGACGAAAGAAGGGAGCGACTGTTGAGCCACTGGGACAAAAGAGGAGAGGAGAGAGTAGAGAAGAAATGAGAGGGGAGAAGGAGGAGAGAAAGAGGAGAGAGAGAGACGAGTGTTGGAGAGGAGAGGGAGGAGAGAGAGGTGGAGAGGGTAAAGGGAGGAGAGAGAGACGAGAGAGAGTTTGAGAGGAGAGGAGAAAGGAGAGGGGAGAGGAAAGAGAGAGGGAGGAGAGAGAGGAGAGGAGAGAGAGGTGGAGAGGAAAAAGGAAAGGAGAGGGGAAAGGGAGGAGAGAGAGGTGAAGAGCAGAGGAGAAAGGAGAGGGGAGAGGGAGAAGAGAGAGAGGAGAGGTGAGAGAGGTGGAGAGGAGAAAGGAAAGGAGAGAGAGCGAGAGAGAGAGAGTTGGAGAGGAGAGGATAGAGAGTTGGAGAGGAGGGGAGAAAGGAGAGGGGAGAGGGAAGAGAGAGAGGGAGGAGAGAGAGGAGAGAGAGGTGGAGAAGAGAAAGAGAGACAGAGAGAGAGGGAGGAGAGGAGAAAGGAGAGGGGAGAGAGGAGAGGAAAGAGAGGTGAAGTGGAGAGAGGGAGAAGAGAGGGTAGAGGGGGAAAGTGGTGGAGAGGAGAAAGGAGAGGGAGGTGGAGAGGGAGGAGAGAAAGGAGCAAGAGAAGAGGGAGGAGGAAGAGAGAGGAAAGGAGAGAGGGAGGAGAGGAGAGAGAGCATAGTTACTATACTGACTACAGTAAGTATAATAGTATAATAGTGACTATAAAATGTATTAGAATCCGGTGTAGAACTCAACTTCAGCACGACTTCATGAATTTTTGTACTTTTCTTCTCAACATTATCCCCCAAAATTGTACTATTCTACCAAATCAAGTCAGAAGTAGACAAACTTGCAACCTGTTTTATGCACTTTAAAATACTTTCAACGGACCATCACATCTTTCCAAGTCCTGAACTTATTCTGCACACATTTGACTTTAGTTTATTTCTACTGACAGAGAAGACGCTGAACTTTGTGACAGTTTAGAATTACACAGATATGAACCAAAAACCAGGTCAAAAAATCTGCAAATCTGACAGATACAAGAAACTCCACCTGAGACTCTTGTGTGTGTGTGTTTACCTGAGGGGAGGGGGCGAGGCTGCAGTGGGGGAGTCCGTGGGGGGGTATTTGTGGGGGTATATGAGGGGGTATATGAGGGACAGCGGGGCAGTTGACCAGGAGCAGTTTGCTGAAGTTGAATTTGTAGGTGAAGCGTTTTCCTTTGGTTTTGTGCAGAATGCGTTTATTGTAATAATATCTGAAAAACATGTGAACAAAAACAGATTCAGGCAAAAAGAATTCTCTCAGTTTACTGCATTTAGAAGGTACTACTGCTGCTGCGTCTAGTACTACTGCAAATACTGGGAATTGGTAAATAGTCTCTTTGCTACTTTGCTGCCAAGTGGTTGTTTTCAGATAGTACACTGTGCTGTCATAACTACTACTGCTACTGCTACTGCTACTACAGCTACAGCTACAGCTACAACTACAACTACTACAACAACTACTACTACTACAACTACTACTACAACTACAACAACTACTACTACAACTACTACTATAACTACAACTACTACTACAACAACAACAACTACAACAACGACTACTACTACAACGACTACTACAGCAACTACAACTACAACAACAACAACAACTACAACAACGACTACTACTACAACAACTACAACTACTACTATAACTACAACTACTACTACAACTACAACAACTACAACAACAACGACTACTACTTCAACTACTACTACAACAACTACAACTACTACTACAACTACTACTATAACTACAACTACTACTACAACTACAACTACAACAACAACTACAACAACTACAACAACAACAACAACTACAACACTACAACAACAACTACTACCACTTCAACCACTACTACAACTACTGACAAGCTACTACTACTACTACTACTACTACTACTACTACTACTGACAAGCTACTGCTACTACTACTGCTACTGCTGCTGCTAGTACTACTGCTACTACTGCTGCTGCTGCTACTGCTACTACTGCTACTACTACTACTACTACTACTCAATGCTACTCCTACTCAATGCTACTCCTACTACTACAACCACTACTGTACTACTACTAGTACTAAAACCACTATTGTACTACTCCTACTGCCTAATGCTACTACTCCTACTACTACTACTGCCTAATGCTACTACTGCTACTACCACCATCGCTACCACAAATGCTATCACTACCTCTTCAAGGTGGAGGGTCCAGTACCTTCTTGTCTCCATGGAGATGTTATTGCTTTGCCTGTAATGCTCCACAGTATGTCATTAAACTTGTCTAGCTCCATGAAAACAAATACAGTAGATGAGGCCACTAGCCTCAGTATCACAGATCAGGTCTGTGGAGAGGCGAGCCCATCCACATTAAGAATGGATGTTTCAAGGTGTTTTTAGAGCAACAAAACACTTTTAACTGTGTGAATAAATGTATCGCAGATGAGTTTAACGTCAGAGTGTGCATCCCGATCTTGACATAAACATCATGGGTTGAGCGGCCAGATTCACTGACCCACAGGTTGGTGGCGTGTCCTTGGGCAAGACACTTAACCCGCCTCGCCCCTAGTATCTGCGTACAATGGTGTGTGAATGTGTGTGTGAATTGGTGAGTGGTTCCTTTGTTGTTAAGCTCTTTGTGTACCTTGAAGATGAAAAAGTGCTGTATAAAAATGTGACCATTTATCATACTGTGGAACATTCCCAGCAACACAATAATATCACTATGGAGACAAGTAGATGGTGGAAAAATATACAGCAAAACTGAAATTACTCCTAGCCTACCATTAATACTACCTACTGACACTGTGTCTACTATTACTGCTACAACTACCTCTGCAACTACTACTACTACTACCAATACTGATCCTACTAATACTACAAATACTACAATCCTACTACTGCAATTAACTTATAGAATACTTAGTTGCACTTGTTCTTGTCGCACCTGAGAGCTCGGCTGAGTTTGTCGTAGTTCATGTGAGGCTTCCCTTTCCTCTCTCCCCACAGCTGAGCCAGTCTCTCAGGGTCTCTGATCACGAACTCTCCCCACTGGTCGCTCCAGCCGATAGCCCCGCCCCCGCCCTCGCCCCGCCCCAAAAGCTCCAACAGGAAGTGCCAGAGCTGCACCTGCCGCGAGCCCGGGGACCACCAGGGTCTGTACGCCCAGTCTGGAAACAGGACGGCTGTGGAGAGAGGGAGAGAAGGACAGAAGAGGGAGAGAAGAGGATGTGCAAGAACAAGAGAGGAGAGAGAGCGTGAAAGAGAGAGAGGAGGAGAGAGGACAGAGGGTGGGTGTGATAGGAGAGGTTGAGAAAGTGTTAGGAAATCTATTAAAGCATTCCTGGAGTGTTAAACGAGAGCACAACGAGAAAATAATTATGTAAACTAAATTCTACTTTCTTGTCCCCAGAGTCAGATTAGTCCTCTGCATTTGACCCGTACTTGAACCTGCCAGGAGCAGTGGGACCCATCTCCAGATCGTGAGCTAGTCTTGGTCAGGACTAGTTTTACTGGAGGACTGGACCTGTTGTGCCCAGACACTGGGAGAACGTGCAAACTCCACACAGAAAAACGTTGGGGTTGAACCGATCCAACTTTTATTTGTATGGCACATTTTATTAACACAAAGTGACCAAAGTGCTGCACACAGTACGCACAATATAAATGAACACATTGAATAAAATAAAGCATAAACTAAATAAGCAAGTCAATAAAAAACATTTAAAAAACCCCAAAATGTTAAAATCCAGTGAGTAAAGTGTGTTTTTAAATAAGACTTAAAAGAATCGACTGCTGCTACTACTACTGCCTATACTACTACTACTACTACTACTACTACTACTACTACTGCCTAATACTACTACTACTACTACTACTACTACTACTACTACTACTACTACTACTACTACTACTACTACTACTACTACTACTACTACTACTACTACTACTACTACTACTACTACTACTACTACTACTACTACTACTGCTACTACTACTACTACTACTACTACTACTACTACTGCTACTACTACTACTACTACTACTACTACTACTACTACTGCTACTACTACTACTACTACTACTACTACTACTACTACTACTGCCTAATACTACTACTACTACTACTACTACTACTACTACTACTACTACTACTACTACTACTACTACTACTACTACTACTACTACTACTACTACTACTACTACTACTACTACTACTACTACTACTACTACTACTACTACTACTACTACTACTACTACTACTACTACTACTACTACTACTACTACTACTACTACTACTACTACTACTACTACTACTACTACTACTACTACTGCCTAATACTACTACTACTACTACTACTACTACTACTACTACTACTACTACTACTGTACTACTACTACTACTACTACTACTACTACTACTACTGTACTACTACTACTACTACTACTACTACTACTACTACTACTACTACTACTACTACTACTACTACTACTACTACTGCCTACTACTACTACTACTACTGCCTACCACTACCTACCACCTACCACTACTACTACTACTACTACTACCACAACTACCTACTACTACTACTACTACTACTACTACCACCACCTAATACTACCTACCACTACCTACTACTACTACTACTACTACTACCTACCACTACCTACTACTACTACTACCACCTACTACTACCACTACTACCACTCCTAGCTACTACTACTACTACTACTACAACTACTGCTGCTGCTGCTACTGCCACTACTAATTAAAATAAAGTAAAATAAAATAAATTAACAAATAAAATAAAGCATAAAATAAATAAAAAAAAAAAAAAAAAAAAAAAAGGCCAGAGGACAGCACAATTCTGTCGTGTTAAAAGCCAGTGAGTAAAAGTGTGTTTTTAAATGAATCTTAAAAGACTCGACTGAAGGGGAGCTCTTAAAGTGAGGGGGGGGAGAGTGTTCCAAAGTTTGGGGCTGACCACAGAAAAGGCTCGGTCATCCCGGCTTTTGGATCTCGTTTTTGGGACGACAACCAAAAACCTTCTGGCTGTGAGGTGAATGTGCTGGCCAAGTTTAAACCCAGGAACAGTACCACTATTTTCTGCAGAGGGCACAAGGACCTGCAACACACTGAGAGGTGACAGGAAGGTCCCACTAAAGCTAATATTGTCAAATTTGAAAGGTTCAGGATGTAACGTGGAGTTTAAAAGGTGTTTAAAGGTGCACTGTGTAACCTTTCTGCTAAAGTGTCCACTACTTGTTTGACTCCACGTATAGTCATTGTTTTGTTCCTGAAATGTTCTACAGCAGGAGTCTCCAACCTGTAGCTCGGAAACTACCGGTAGCTCTCCACCCCCTTCCAAGCAGCTCACCAAGGGATTTCTGAATTCTATGTATTGTGGATAATAAGTAAAAGTTAATTAATTGCCATTGTAAATCAGTATCACTTTGATACTAACTTGGTGCACCAATAAATGGAGTTAATACGATTAACTAAGATTCAGGAGCAGGACCACGCCCTGACCGTCCTCTCCTCCTCACCTGCGAACCACAGCTCACTTCGACCACGCCTCTAATTTCCCAGAAGCCTATATGTAGCAGCATTTCCCATCATCCCAGTTTGTCTCGGCTAACTTGACCCCACCCTCCCACCCCTTATCTTGTTTGTTTTTCAGCCTGAAGATGCCTACGAGGGGAGTCCCGTTCCGGCTGGGCCAATTGTAGATTGAGACGGAGCCCCCACCCAGAGTCTCAACCCAGCCATCTTTGCCCCTCGTATATTACCAATAAACTTCTTTCGCACTATGTCGTTCTTGGCGTGGTCCTTGCTATAGTGAAATGGATAATGGTTTATCTTTTATAAGCATCTAACGGTTCCCTGTTCAAGCTTTGCCGTGGCTCTTTATACTTAGTTTCTTTGTGACTGCTGAAATTAGTAGCTCTCTAGCATTTTTGTTTTGTAAAGGAGCTCAGTGGAGAAAAAAGGTTGGCGGCATTCAATTCAACTATCTCCATGGAGACAACCAGCCACATCACCAGGCCAAGTTCCAGGTCAGATCTGTGGTTGGAGTAAGAATGCATGTCTCTGTGGTAGTTTTGAGAAATAAAAGCATGTGTGAAATGAATAAACACAAGATATATTTGGTTAATGCTATAGTGTGGAACATCCCAGGGCAAAGCAATGGCATCACCATGGAGACGAGCAGATAGCAGACCCCCAGAAAAGTTACACAACTCTCCTCTTTTTCTCTTATTTCTCTTTTCATGACTACCTCTCTATGATCTGTCTCTTTTTTAGATTATATAATTCCTCAGGTTTAATCAGTGGTGGATGAAATACTCAAGGTTGTACTCAAATAAAAGTACAGATACAGGGACAAAAGTAAAAATATCACATGAAAACATCCACTTGAGTAAAAGTACCAGTTTAAAAATGTACTTTAAGAGTATTTTATAGAGATTTTTAGAACAATTTAAGCATGAAATGTAATAATTTTGATAAAGAATTTAGCAGATTTTTCAAACAATTCAATTGATTTTAAAATTTTTCCAGCTGTTTTGTGTTTTTGTGTAATTGGTTTGCCCAAAGTTGGGACATTAACTCAAATTAAACGTTCTAAGAATAAGTTTCAGCTTTTACAGCAGGTCTCGACCAAATAAAGAAAAGTACTTTTTACATTTCAGTCCAGATTTAAAATGTAGTGGAGTATAAAGTACAAATACCTGTTCTCAAATATATAAATAGTGAAGTAAAAGTAAAAAGTATCCACTGTAAAATGAATTTAAGCAAAGTACAGATACATAAAAATAGTAAACAGTAAAAACAGACCGAGAGGAGCTGCTGCTGTAATAATAACAACAATAATAATCCAGATAGTTTAGAGTCCCTCATGTGAAAATTCTCATCTTGTTTTCAGTTTTATTTTAAGAGACTCATTGTTGTCTACGGCATCTAGTCTCCTGCTGCGAGTGACTGATGCTGTTTCCAGAATAATCATTTATCATACCCGGAATAAAGTCTATAGAGAAAATATAACTCAACTTTAGCTCAAATATTTGTGCAGTGCATTACAGACCACTGAAAAGGCACTGGCTGTTTCTCGCTATTCAAACATACAGTTCTATATTACACAAAATTGTAAGCTGTTGAATGTTGTTACCTCCTCAAAAACAGACCTGGAGTTGTGTTTTCTTTCATTCACACATGTTTGAGTGACTCTTTATTATTAATCTGCTCTGTTTCATCTTTTATTCAGTAGAGATTGACAATTCCAGGGCTGAAATTAATCAAATTATTCTAGTGAAGGTGTATGGAGTTTGAAAACACAGTGGAGCAGTTCCTGTATTACCACATGACATCATAAGGTGGAACAGAGTGTTTTGAGAGAAGAACTCAGCCTAAATATGCAACATTTGTGTGTTAACTCTTCCAGACATAAGGGCAAGTTTAGTACATTTGTCCTCATCTGAATTTTTTTCTTAATTTTGCGATTAAAACTCCCCCTTTTACCTCCTAATGAAGTGTTATACATCTTTAAAAAAAATAAAAATAAAATTATTACAATGTGTTATTACACAGTCTGCTGCTGTAGTTCTGTCATATGGCTGTAATAAAAGCTATAGGACCAGAAACACAATGGAAAAAAATTAATAAAATTCACACTCTTTCATATAAAACACACAGCAAACATGTATACACACATTTTTGGTCATTAAAAAATGCTTAATTTAGGGCCTTAGCTACAGAAGTGCAAAATATCAAGTCTGTAAGGAAACTAAAAATATCCTTATTGCCTCAAAACAAAACAAAACAAAAAAAAAGTACAGTGGCCCTTGACTTTCCTAGTGTCAGTCATGGCTTGTGTCAGGTTCACGGCACAGAGACACATCTCTACCTGCATTCCATGGGTTTATTACATTTGGATTTGGTCATTTTGAGTGAAATTAACCTTTCAAATAAAACCAGCAAAGGATGTGCAATTACAGAGATCAAGATGCGTAATTTGCCATTTATTTGAGAAATAACTAGCCTGATTCACTTCATACAAACCGTCTGACCTCGCAGCATTAAGATTCATTCACTTGATGGTAAGTGGGTCCTTTTTTTATTTAACCAATCGCTGTTATTTGGTTGTGACGTATGTAATGCACCGCTAATGGGACTAACTGGTATATTAAGCTTTTCCCAAATCCCATAGGAAGAAGGACAATAACGTCTTTCCCTTTGATAAAATTCACCAAACATTCTCTTTGTTCCGGCTTTAAATCCTCGATCTCAGGAATCGTTGCCAACACAGAATGTATGGCTCTTCACTGATTGGCTGGTGCCCAGACTCGTACTTCTGGGGTTCTTGCAAACCATCTAGTGTATTCCGATTCCTGACCTAGTCGCTGGAGAGAAATTGAGTGGAGGCACTAGGTGGCGCCAGCCTGACTAAGAAATAACTGCACTTAGAGCAGCTTTTTCACTTGAACACTTAGAGCAGTCGACCATTTTGACTCATTACACTCTTTGGCAAAGTTTGCGACAGTCACAATGGATGGAGGGCATGCATTTGTGAAATATGCTAGGAAAGCCACAAGTCTCAGCTTCTCAAGAAAAAAAAGCAAGTTTCTATCTTTTATGGTTGGAAAGTTATGTGCAGTTATATGAAACATATTCCCAGGCATCAAATACAATACTGTGCAAGGGTTCAAGGTGTGTGAATGAAACAAAACACAAGTCCAGGTCTGTTTGTGATGAGGAAACAACATTAGAACATAAAATAGGCCCGTTAACATTTCCTCTTTCTTTTTTGTCTTTGTCACATTCATTTTTTGCACATTTCCCGGCTAAGGCCTCCATAAACACAGCCATTGTCTGCACACACGAGGGGAAACAAATCACTTCTTATCCTAATAACCCCCGTCAGTAAAATGTAATGTTTCACTTTGCACAATATTACACTAGTCAGACCTTCCCAAAGACACGGCCCCTATCTCGCAATGGTTAAATATAGTGCCCAGACCCGCCTAATACAGACTGATTGAATTGTCAAACCTTTCTTACATTACATCTGAATTAATCATCTCATCACTGATAAAATCACGTGAACGGGACTCACCTCGGCTCCAGAGCGGTGATGGCAAGTGTCCTACAGGGGGCACACAGCTGCACTGCATCTACAAAAAACAAAATAAAGTCAATTAACTGGAGAGTATCATAAATAATATCATAAAAATGACCATTACTCTGAGCTGAAATGTGTTCTGTCATTTTCAGATTCTCATTTAGCTACACGGGACAGAGATACACGAAAAATACAAACCATAGCACACATCGTTTAACTAAATTATTAGTTCCCTCTGTTATGCCATAATCATTTTGAATTAAAAGACAGCAAATTATGAATTAATCACTGAATTAATTAAAATGAAAAGTGTATAATTTTAAATGTTTTGTAATAAAAAATACATTTAGTTATTATTAAGCTTTCTCCTTAGTATTTGTAGTATTTTACCTTGTCAAACATGAATTCTTACTGTGAGTGGGATTGCCTCTCCAGTGATCAGACCTGTAACTTAACCTGACGCTTTATGCTTTATTGATTTAAAGTTTAATGCCAAAAGATGCAACATTTGAAGCAAAGCAATAAGATAGCCACCAATAAAGTCAAAATATTATTATTACATAGTAGTTGAGGGGTCCGTCACCTGCTTGTTTCTATGGCGATGTCATTGTTCTGCCTGGAATGTTCCACAGTATGACTTTAAACAGCTCTACCTCACATTTATTCAGTTACAGGTGGTTTTATAGCTCATAAATACCTAGAAAAACAACATTCTGACTGTGAGCGGGGTCGTCTCTCCACAGATCTGACCTGTAACTTCTGTCTGATTTGGTCTCCATGGAGATAGAAAGGTTTAATGCCACACTGTGAAACATTCCAGACAAAGCAATAACATCTCCATGGAGAAAAGCTTTCGACAGATCCTCCACCAGAAAAGTTAAAGAATGCACCTTTAAGTTAAAAATGGGTAAAAATTGTCAAGCTGAAGTCATAATTAACAATGAAAATGATTGAAATCAGGAGTGTCCAAACTAGTGAAAGTGTTTTACCTCGTCAGGAGCAGACAGGAGCAGGCAGGAGCAGACAGGAGCTCTTCAGATGAATGATGTGATTGTCTTTGGAGGTGGAAATGAAGCGGACAAATCCCGAACCACTGTCTCTCCTCCTCTTACCCCCCTTTCCCCTCACACCCAGGACCCCCTCCCCCCCTCCCTCCTCCCCCTTGACCCCGCCCCTCTCCTCTGTCCCCTCTGGTCGCCACGGTCACTGCCCTGTCATCAACTTTGGAGGATTTAGACACAAGAGAAAGCGTCCTCAGATATAATGATAGAGAATACGGGAGGCCAGACTTTACTGTTGTTTGTACCTTTCCCGGGCCTAAATACATGACTCGAGTGCATCAGGAAGGGCATCTGACTTAAAACCTTTGCCATATCACTGTTTAAATCACAGCAGTTTTGATTTATAATCTAAAGAGCTGTCAAGCCACTTTCTTATGCCCAGTCTCAATCACATGTCTTAGTAATGATGTAGTGTTTAATGGTAACTGTCTTTTTCTTTCTCTCGTCTTCTCTATCCTTTCTTTCACTCTATGCTCTTTCTTTCTTTCACCTTGCTTTCTCTCTCTCTCCCCCTTTCCCTCTGCTTCTTCTCTTCTTTCTCCCTCTCTGTCTCCCTCACTCTTCTCCCCCCCTCCCCCTCTTCTCTCCATCTCATTCTCTTGACATTCTCCCTCCTCCTCTCTCCGTCTTTCTGCCCTTTCCTTCTACTCTTTTTCTCTCTCCCTCTCCCCACTCCTCCTCTCCTCTCTCTCTTTTCCCCCTCTCCTCCATCTCCTCCTCCTCTTTCATGAGAGAGTGATTGCGGAGGCTTTTAATTCCGGTGTAAACATGAAGAGTGTCAGACTCACATGTTTAATGCAGGAGCTCAGGTCACTGTGGTGTTTGACCCACAGGGGGCGCCGGACACATGATCCGCGCTGGAACCAACCGCCGCTCTCAAACGTTTAAAAGTCTGTTCAAACATAAACACAAAAGAGTGACTTTATTAAAAAGTTTTAGAGAAATATAAGTTTGGAAATACTCTCCTCTGTATATACTTGTAATACTGTCCTCCAAGATTCACTGTGTAACTTTTCTTCTGCTTGCTTGTCTTGTTTTTACAGAGATGTAATTTCTTTGTCTGGGATGTTCCACAGTAAAACATTAAAGGGATAGTTTGGTTTTTTTGACATGAACCTGTATAACATCCCCGTGAGCAGTGTCGTGCATCCACACTGACTTACCCCCGACCGCGTCAGGTGAGCCGAGATACTGGCCGGTTTTGGGGCTGATGAAAGTAGTCCGGCAAGTTGGCTGGGGACATTTAAATAAAGTGTTTTTCTTCTCAAAACAATATGTGTTCCAAAGAGTGATACCTTTGCATCACAAAGCCATCATCCTCAAAAAAGTCCTCATAATCGCTTGGCACTATTTTCTCTGTGTTCGTATCACTGCGTGCTGTTGCCAGGTGACATTAAACTGAAGTAACTCTATGTGGTAAATGGTCACATTTTTCTATAGCGCTTTTCCATCTTCAAAGCACTTTACAACAAGGAACCACTCACACATTCACACACACATATACACACACCAGTGTACGCAGACACTGAGGGTGAGGAGGGTTAAGTGTCTTGCTCAAGGACACAACAGCTCATCTGTGGGAGCTGGAATCACACCACCAACCTGTGGGTCCGTGGATCTGGCTGCTTATGTCGAGATCGAGATGCACACTCTGACATTAAAGTCATCTGCGATACATTTATTCACTCAATTAAAAGTGTTTTGTTGCTTTAAAAACACCTTAAAACATCCATTCTTACTGTGGATGGACTGGCCTCTCCACAGACCTGATCTGTGATGTCTAGGCTAGTGACCTCATCTACTGTATTTGTCTTCATGGAGCTAAACAAGATTAATGCCATACTGTGGAACATTACAGGCAAAGCAACAACATCTCCATGGAGTCATGCAAGTCGTGGACCCTACACCTTGAAGCAGTAGTGATAGTGATAGTGGTAGTACTAGTAGCATTAGACATGAGTGGTAGTAGTGGTGGTAGTAATAGTAGTAGTAGTAGTAGTAGTAGCATTAGACATAAGTGGTAGTGTGGTAGTAGTAGTAGTAGTAGTAGTAGTAGTAGTAGTAGTAGTAGTAGTAGTAGTAGTAGTAGCATTAGACATGAGTGGTAGTGGTGGTAGTAGTAGTAGTAGTAGTAGTAGTAGCATTAGACATTAGTGGTAATTAGTAGTAGAAGTAGTAGCATTAGACATTAGTAGTAGTAGTAGTAGTAGCATTAGACATTAGAGTGGCAGTAGTAGTAGTAGTAGTAGTAGTAGTAGTAGCATTAGACATTAGTGGTAATTAGTAGTAGAAGTAGTAGCATTAGACATTAGTAGTAGTAGTAGTAGCATTAGACATTAGATTGGCAGTAGTAGTAGTAGTAGTAGTAGTAGTAGTAGTAGTAGTAGTAGTAGTAGTAGTAGTAGTAGTAGTAGTAGTATTAGACATTAGTGGTAGTAGTAACAGTAGTCACATTAGATATTAGTAGTAGTAGTAGTAGCATTAAACAGTAGTGGTAGTAGTAGTAGTAGTAACTTTAGACATTAGTGGTAGTAGTAGTAGTAGTAGTAGTAGTAGTAACATTAGACATTAGTAGTAGTAGTAGTAGTAGTAGTTAGACATTAGTAGTATAGTAGTAGTAGTAGTAACTTTAGACATTAGTGGTAGTAGTAGTAGTAGTAGTAGTAGTAGTAGTAACATTAGACATTAGTGGTAGTAGTAGTAATAGTAGTCACATTAGATATTAGTAGTAGTAGTAGTAACTCTAGACATTAGTGGTAGTAGTAGTAGTAGTAGTAGTAGTAGAAGTAGTACTAACATTAGACATTAGTGGTAGTAGTAGTAGTAGTCGCATTAGATATTAGTAGTAGTAGTAGTAACATTAGACATTAGTAGTAGTAGTAGTAGTAGTAGTAGTAGTAGTAGTAGTAGTAGTAGTAGTAGTAGTAGTAGTATTAGTAGTAGTAGTAGTAACATTAGACATTAGTGGTAGTAGTAGTAGTAGTAGTAGTAGTAGTAGTAGTAGTAGTAGTAGTAGTAGTAGTAGTAGTAGTAGTAGTAGTAGCACACCTGCAATTGAAAAAAATCATAGATACATAAGTGTAATGCCATACTCTGGAACATTTCAAGTCAAGAAATGACATCAGTTGCTTATTTGATACTGCGCAGATACATAGCAAAAGTTCCACAGCGCACCTTTAAAAATGAAAACTTGGACTTGATTTGCTCTGTGCACTGTGAGCTGTTGTTGTGCAGAGCTGAAGAGAACCGAGGTGGAGAAGAGGAGAGGAGAGGAGGAGGGTTACAGGATCATTGCATCATCATCATCCTGCACTCGTTTAAACAGAGTATCTTTAAACCAGGGATGGAGAGATGGAAAGAAAGAGCGATGGAGAGATGTGTTTTCATGTAGGAGTGAGAGAAGTGTTGACCCCAGACACTCAGGTTAAATATAAACTGTACGATCACGTGGAATCAAATATGAGAAAGAGCAGCATTTTAACACGAGTTTAGTTTGTAAAGTTTGTAAAGGTGCACTGTGTAACTTTTCTGGTGGGTCGTCTGGTGCTCGTCTCCGTGGAGATTTTGGCTTGGGTGTTTCAAAGTCTGGAATTAAACTTACACACATTCACCCACATATTCACACACACCTTCAAACATACATTCATACACACATTCACTCAACACTCACACATTCACACATTCATACACATATTCACTCACACATTCATACACACATTCACAGACACCTTCAAACATACATTCATACACACATTCACTCACACATTCATACACACATTCACAGACACCTTCAAACATACATTCATACACACATTCACTCACACATTCATACACACATTCACAGATACTTTCAAACATACATTCATACACACATTCACTCACACATTCATACACACATTCACTCACACACTCACACATTCATACACACATTCACACATTCATACACACATTCATACACACATTCACAGACACCTTCAAACATACATTCATACACACATTCACTCACACATTCATACACACATTCACTCACACACTCACACATTCACACATTCATACACACATTCACTCACACATTCATACACACATTCATAGACACCTTCAAA